TTTTAAACAATTAGAAGCAAAAATTATTGTTGAACCACATCGCAGATTAATAGAAAAAAAAATATTTAAAAAAAACTTATAAATATTAAATATACAAATAAAATTAACACTACATCTATTTTAAATTGATTTCGTTTTCAGAGACCCTGACACTTTGAATTATTATTTTTGTACTTGTATAACGTTTCATATATGTACACTCATCGAAACAATATGTTTCTTCTAAACAATATTAGATTGTATACTCTCTCAATTTGAATCAGTTCAAAATTTAATTGATTTCATTCAGAGACTAAATTTTTGCCTTCAAATCTGTTAAAAAATTTTAATTGATTTAAATTAGTAAATAAATTTTTGCTTCTTAAATCAATTGCAAATTTTGACTAATTTGAATTAGTAAATTAATTTTTTGCTTTCAAATCAGTTTAAATTTTAACTGTTTTGAAATAGTGAATTAATTTTTAAATTTATTATATTTTTATTTTTTAATTTATTACAGTTAATTAAATATTCATTAAAAATTTTTGACTAATTTTGAATTAGTAAATAAATTTTTGCATTCAAATCGCCAAAATTGTTACTAAAAATTAGTAAATTAATTTTGGCTTCCAAATCAGTTTAAATTTTTACTCTTCTCAACTAGTAAATTAATTTTTACTTTTAAATCAGTTAAAATTTTAACTGATTTAAATTAGAAACTTTATTATAGTTATTTAAATATTTATTAACAAATTTTAACTAATTTTGAATTAGTAAATAAATTTTTGCATTCAAATCAGTTTAAATTTTATCTGTTTTGAAATAGTTATTTAATTTTTAAATTTATTTTTATTTTTTAATTTATTATAGTTAATCAAATATTCATTAAAAATTTTTGACTAATTTTGAATTAGTAAATACATTTTTGCATTCAAATCGCAAAAATTTTTACTAAAAATTAGTAAATTAATTTTGGCTTTCAAATCAGTTTAAATTTTAACTCTTCTCAACTAGTAAAGTTAAAATTCTAACTGATTTGAATTAGTAAATTTATAATAGTTTTTTAAATATTCAATAAAAAATTTTGACTAATTTTGAATTAGTAAATAAATTTTTGCATTCAAATCGCAGAAATTTTTACTAAGAATCAGTAAATTACTTTTTGATTTCAAAACAGTTAAAATGTTACTGTTTTGAATTAGTGGCTGACTTTTAGGACTGAAATCAGTTTAAAATTTACTGATTTACAAGAAAAAAATTTTCTACTGTCAAAACAGTTAATTTTAACAACTTTGAAACAAAAGAAACAGTCACTGATTCAAAGAAGTTCAAAATTTAACTTAAAATTGGAGAGAAAAACAGAATGTGGTATGAAGTATATAATTATTATATTTTAATCAACTTTAATAGGAAATAATTAAATTTTTCTACTAGAAAAAAAGTAATTTAAAAATTTTCATTTTAATTGCAAAATTAGGATAGTAAAGAAAAAAAAAAATTATAGATTAAGATAACGAAATTAAAAACAAAAATTATAATTCTAGTATTATAAAATTCAAAAAAAAAAAATTGTTCACAAACTGAAATAAAAGTTCCATTCATACACAATTATTCGCAAATTGCTTTTTAATGAATCCTTCTATATTTACTAATTACCACTATGCTCTTTTACTAATTAGTCGCAAACTATTACACAATCCAATAAAATTAAAAAAAAAAGTAGTAAAACTAAAATTTTAATATTTACACACTCGCAGCCGCAATTGTATATATATCTTTTCTTTTCTTTTTTTTTCAAAAAAAATCTTTTTCACGCGAAAACAAAGCTGTATCGGTAACTGTATAATTATAGTCTAATTAGCGGACGTGTCGATGCAGTGACCACGTGACAATTATATAGTAAATATTCGTCGTGCAAAGAGAAAAAAAAGACTCGTTATACAAACGCTTTGCAAATAGTTTTGACTTGCTTTCAACTATGTTTACACCGTTATTTAATTATTCTTGTGAATGAGAATTTTATTTTTTCTTTTTTTTTCTCTCTTCCTTTTGTTTCTTTAACTTGTAATAATAATTGACAGTAAGTCCGCAGGTGTACTTAAAATATTTAACGAACCGTGCCAAGGAAAAGAGGAGACACTATACTCTTAAAACAGTTTTGAAATTTTCATTTGTAATCGATTCCATAGGTGAACAAACAGAATTTTATTTTTAGAAAAATTTATCTTTATTTTTCAATATCAAATTGAATTTTTCTTTCGTTTTGAAGTCTTTTTTCTCTATACGCTCGGAATTGTTTCCTATCATCTAATTCTTGTTTTTAAATTTAAAACAAACATTTTTTTGAATATTAAACGTATTATTAATTTAAAATTTTTTTAAATTAATCTTTTATTCGAATTAAAGAAATTATTCATTTTTTGTTTAAATTGAATTTGAATTGGAAAAAATTTCAACTGCTTTTAGGAAAATATAATTTTCAAATGATTTGAATTAAAGAAATTATTTGTTTGATTTTTTATTTTGAATCAAACAAATTTTTTTGATGCAAAATAAAATATCAAACAAATAATTTCCTAATAAACAAACAAAATAATATTAATTTTAATATTTAAATTATTTGTTTGATTTTTCATTTCGAATCAAAAAAATTTGATCAATCAATCAAAATTTTTTTGATACAAAATAAAAAATCAAAGAAACAATTTCTTTAATTCGAAAAATCTAATGTTTTTTTGATTCAAAATTAAAAAATCAAATAATTTCTTTAATTCAAACCATTTGAAAATTACTTTTTCCTTTAAAGCAAATAAAATTTTCTTCAATTCAAATAAATTCAATCTTTAATATAAAAACTGATTTAAAAAAAACGATTTTCTTGTTTCAAACAAATATTTTTTTTAAGTTAAAAAAAAAGGATTTTCAAGAATAAACATCAATTTTTGAATGATTACAGATTTAAAATTGAAAGAATTAACTTATTAAGTACATATAATATTAAATATTCTTGTCTGTTATTATTCAAAATTTTAATAAACTTTCTCGAAAGAATACATAATTATTTTTTCAAAAATATTAATTAAATTTACAAGAATTTACAATTAATTACGATTATTTACAAGAATTTTAATATAAATTGAATTATTTTCAACAATTTTGATAAAATTCTTTTTAAAAAATTATTATTTTCACAAATTTTAATAAAATTCCTCCAAAAAATTCAATTATTTTCAAAAGATTTAGATAACATTCATCGAAATAATTAAATTCTTTTTATGAATTGTAAATTCTTCCGGAAGAATTCAATTATTTTCATAAATAAGAAAATTCTTCGCAAGAATTAAAATATTTTCACAAATAATAAAATTCTACAAAGAAATTCAATTATTCTCATAAATAATAAAATGTTTCGGAGGAATTCAATTATTTTTAATACAATTTAAATGAAATTCCTCCAAAGAATACAAATAAAAATCAATAAATAAAAATAATTATTCAAATTCAATTATTTTCAACAATTCTGATAAAAAATTCTTCGAAACGATTCAATTATTTTTGCAAAAATTTCATTATTTATGAAAATAATTGAATTCTTGGATTGAATTTTATTAAAAGTTTTTTTAAATAATTAAACTCTTGTGAAAAATTCAATTATTTAAAAAAATAATTGAATTTTTACACGATTTTTAAAAATAATTGAAATTTTCGAAGAAATTAATTTAAAGTGTATTGAAAATAAGTGAAATCCTGATAAGAATTTTGTTATTTACATAAAAATAATTGAATATTTACGAAGAATTTTATTATTTATAAATTGACTTTTTGCAAAGAATTTTATTACAATTATTTAAAATAATTAAATTCTTCATAAAATTCAATTACTTTCAAAATTTTCAGTAAAAATTATTAAGAAAAACTACACTATTTTTAAGAATATTGAAATAAATTCTTTAAAACAATTAAATTATTTTAAAGAATTTTAATGAAAATCTTTCCAAGAATTAAATTATTTTCAATACAATTTTAATTATATTTTCTCGAAAGAATTCAATTATTGAAAAAAATGTTGATCAAATTCTTGAAATGACTTCAATTTTAATAAAATTTCTTTAAAGAATGCAAATAAAAATAAATAAATAAAATTTTATTTAAATTCAATTATTTTCAACAATTCTGATAAAAAATTCTTCGAAATAATTCAATTATTTTTATAAGTTGTAAAATTCTTGTTAAGAATTCAATTATTTTTTCGAAAATTCCATTATTTATGAAAATTATTAAATTCTTAAATTGAATTTTATTAAAAGTTTTTTAAATAATTGAACTCCTGTGAAAAATTCCATTACTTTTTTAAATAATTGAATTTTCTCGGAGAATTTTTTTAAAGATTTTTAAAAATAATTGAAATTTTAAAATATTGAAAATAAGTGAAATCCTGATAAGAATTTTATTATTTATAATAAAAATGATTGAATTTTTTACGAAGATTTTTATTATTTATACATTTTTCTTTTTGCAAAGAATTTTATTACAATTATTGAAAATAATTGAATTTTTCATAAAATTCAATTACTTTTTTAAAAATTTCATTAAAAATTAAAAACCAAATTTCCACTATTTTCAAGAATATTGAAGTACATTCTTTAAAACAATTCAATTATTAAAAAAAATTTTAATGAAAATCTTACCAAGAATTAAATTATTTTTAATACAATTAATTTTCTTTTTTTTCTCTTTTTTCAAAAGAATTCAATTATTGAAAAAAATGTTGCCAAAATTCTTGAAATGAATTCAATTATTTTCAAAATTTTTTTATAAATACATTACAAGAATTCAATGATATTCAGTTCATTAATTTAAAAATTTTAAACATTTAAAAAGAAAATTTATTTTAAAAGTTACAGGAAACAAAAAAGTATTATATTATAAAATTGTAATAAAATTTTAACATTAATTATAATACCAATGGAAGTAATTAAATTGAAAAAAAATAATTAACAAATTGAATTTTATATTTGCAGCTCCACCGGGTGAGGAGGACGAGGAGGATGGATTAAAGAATGGGTATTTAAAGGGACAAGAAAATGGTACGAATTCACGACCGTTTGATAGGAATGGACAGACGAGTTACAGGCCACGAAAAACAGGAAGCGGGACCACCACCACGAGTGGATACACGAGTGCAAGTTCAAAATCAAGAAGAGATGACTCCACTGGTTCGCCGTCACAGCCAAAGATCATTTTTAATGAGGAGGAATACACGCGAATCACAACACCGCGACAGGATGTTCTATTTAAAAAAGGTTATCTTTCACAGAAAAAACCATGGACAAGCACAGCGAGCACGAGTGCAACACCATCGACCACTGAGAGTCAATCAGCCTCTCATTCCACCGCAGGTAGAGGTATAGGTAGAGACGTAAAAATTTCATCCATTTTTTTTCTTCTTTTAATTCAAATTTTTATTTTTAAACCTCATTTCTTTCGTCCTCATCGTCATCGCCATCGTCATCGTTTTTATTTTCAATCCTCTCGTAAAAAAGAATTTTTTTTTTGACAAAATACATTTTCTTTGAACCAAATAAACTTTTTTTGAGTCTAAATAAGTTTTCTTTGAACCAAAGAATTGCTTTTTAGGTTAAAGAAATTATTTTTAAACCGCAAATAATTTTTTTCGAACCAAAGAAATTATTCTTGAACCAAATAAACTTTATTTAAACCAAATACATTTTCTTTGACCTAATTAAACTTTTTTTGAGTCCAAATAATTATTCTTTGAACCAAAAAATGGTTAGTAAACGAAATTATTTTTGAACCAAATAATTTTTTTTTTAATCAATGCAATTATTCTTGAATCAAATAAATTATTTTTGATCCAAATAAATTTTCTTTGAACCAAATAAATTGTTTTTGAATCAAAGAAATTATTTTTGATCCAAAAAAGTTTTTTTTGAACCAAAGAAATTTTCTTTGAATCAAATAAATTGTTTTTGAATCAAAGAAATTATTTTTGATCCAAAAAAGTTTTTTTTGAACCAAAGAAATTGTTCTCGAATAAAATAAATTTCCTTGAGGCCAAGTAAAGATTGTTTTGGATCAAATAAATTTTCTTTGAACGAAATAAACTTTTATTGACTCAAATAAATTTTCTTTGAACCAAATAAATTGTTTATGAATCAAAGAAAGTATTTTTGAACCAAATAAATTTTTTTTTAACCAAATAAATTGTCAAAGAAAACAAAGAAATTATTTTTGATCCAAAGAAGTTTTTTTTTGAACCAAAGAAACTGATCATGAACCAAATAAATTTTCTTTATAATCAAATAAATTTCCTTTCAGACAAATAAATTTTCTTTGGACGAAATAAACTTTTATTGACTAAAATAAATTTTCTTTGAACCAAAAAGATTGTTTTTTATTCAAAGAAATTATTTTTGAACCAAAGAAGTTAATCTTGAACCAAATAAATTTTCTTTACAATTAAATAAAATTCCTTTGGGCCAAATAAAGTTTTTTTTGGACCAAATAAATTTTCTTTGGACGAAATAAACTTTTATTGACTCAAATAAATTGTTTTTGAATCAAAGAAATTATTTTTGACCCAAAGAAATTTTTTTCGAACCAAATAAAGCGTTCTTGAACCAAATTTTTTTTAATCAAATAAATTTTCTTTGGGCCAAATAAAGTTTTTTTTGGACTAAATAAATTTTCTTTGAACGAAATAAACTTTTATTGACTCAAATAAATTTTCTTTGAACCAAATAAATTTTCTCTAAATCAAATAAATTTTCTTTGAATCGAAAAGAAAATAATTTTCAATCGAAGAAAAAAATCAAAGCAAATGATTTCTTAAATCAACAAAAATTTTTCTCTTGTCTATATTAAAAAAACTGACTCTTAGCTAATTAAAAATGTGTAATTTACATTACTTTCCATTTTCTCTATACCTAGTAAATTTTTAATCATATTTCGTGAGAAAAAAAATTTCGTTCATTTGAACGTTCTGAACTTTTATTAGGAAAATTTTATTTTACTGTTTCAATTTTGTAACTTCAAGGCGGGGAAAAATTAATTTGCGAACGTTGATTCTATTTGAGGATGCATATCAATGGCCGAACCTGTTTCTTACAATTAGATGAATGAAACGAGTAAAACTTGGCACTACGTAACGTGATGAAATTTAAACGAGCATAGCTAACAAAGCAATAAATTTCTATTAGATGTTTGAATCAACATAAATATATACATTTAATTCAGTCTTTTCTACTATTATAATACTCGGTCACCGCGGGTTAAATGAAACTGTGAATACAGATTTCACTCACCAAACACTTATTAGTAAAAAAAAAAGTATTATCTCCAGATGACAAACAAAATAATAATTAGCGAAATACGATAAACTAAATTCTTTATAAACTTCAGTTCCAAATATTCAAATGAACGAAATTTTTTTCGATATAAATATTTTCGAAAATTACCAAAAGCAAAAAAAAGCGAAAAATTGTTAAATAAACAAAAAGGAAGAAAATTTATTTATTTCTTCTTGAAATTAAATTTTTCTTACAATAATTTTGCGCCACAATTGTACAAAAACTAATTATAAAATTTCTAAATAAATTTAAGTTTCTAATTTCAATTACAATCAGTAATTTACAAAAAATAATTATTTATTTAGTTAAAAATTAATTATCTATTTAAAAAAATTGAAAAAAAACTAAAAAAAAAAATTTTATTTGTAAATAAAATTCTAATTAAAAGAAGTAATAATAAAAATATCTTCGTTTGTATAAAAGTTCAATATTTTATGACCATTTTTGTTTATTTCTTTAAAAAAAATTATTTAAATCGATATGCAATGAATTTTAATTTATTATTTCAATTTCTTGAGAGGAGAATATTTTTCTCTCAAGTTTTTATTTACTTTCTCGTTTCGGTACATAAAAAAAATCGTCACGGTCTTCTTCAACTGTGCAATTGTCTTTATTTTTATTATTTGGAAAATTAGGGCATTTTTATATATCTCTAAAGACGACAATTTTCGATAACTGTTTTTTCTCAATTCTTTCAGAAAAAATATACATAAATTCTGTATACTAACTGTACTAACTTTCATATTTTCTACAACGACCGCAATGAAAAATATTTTAAAAATTAATTCCTTATCCATGAAGATAATTTCCAAAAAGTCTATTTTTTCCCAAAAGTCCAATATTAATGACTCCGAATTCTAAATTAATTTGAATAATATTTAAATTCGCAGTTATTTTATTCATTTTTATTCATCACTTCAAATTCACTTGTCAATAAATAAAACAGAAAAAAGTCTCTAATTACCTACGTTCAAATAAAAGCCATTTTTTTTATATTTCGTTAAAATTTGAATTTTGTCGAAAAAAAATTTTTTGGTTAATTTAGAAAATTAACTCCTTTTTGTAAATGTTGAATTTACCTACTTTATTTTTAATTTTATTCTTGAAATTTTTGTCAAGAATATTTAATCTCTAAAATTCGAATGTTCAAAATGGACAATTTTTTTTATATTTCGTTCAAATTTGTATTTTGTTGGAAACATTTTTTTTGTTAATTTAGAAAATTAATTCCTTTTTATAAATGATAAATGTTGAATTCACTTTCTTTTTAATTTTGTTCTAGTAATTTTTGGAAAATATTTAATCTCTAAAAATTCGAATGTTCTAAATGAACAATTTTTTTTTTTAATATTTCGTTAAAATTTGAATTTTGGTGGAAGATTTTTTTTTGGTAATTTACAAAATTAATTCCTTTCTATAAATGTTGAATTTATTTTTTATTTTATTCTAGTAATTTTTGGAAAATATTTAATCTCTAAAAATTCTAACGTTGAGAATGAACAATTTTTTTTAATATTTCGTTAAGATTTGAATTTTGGTGGAAGATTTTTTTTTTTTTTTTAACTTACAAAATTAATTCCTTTCTATAAATAATGTTGAATTTATTTTCTTTTCAATTTTATTCTAGTAATTTTTGGAAAGTATTTAATCTCTAAAAATTCAAACATTCAAAATCAACGACAATTTTTTTTTTAATATTTCGATAAAATTTGAATTTTGTTGGAGAAATTTTTTTTGTTAATCTACAAAATAAATTCCTATAATTTGAATTTTCAAAAAAATGAATGAAAATTAATTTACCTAATTGTTACGAATTAGAGAAAATTAATAAGATTGATTGTAATTAAGGAATGAATTTTGAATTTAGAAAAGGATAAATTTCGAAATTCACCACTGCGAGATTAATGGGCAAATTGGATTTTATTGAATAATTGTTTTCCAGATGGAAGTGAGACGACTGAGGATCAACAGCTGCTGGACAGCGGAGCAGGAGAGTATTCGTCAGTGATTGAACCTGCGGCACAATTAGGATATGGCACATTTTACGATCATGCCAGTGGTTATTATTACGAGTATCCAGTGATGCTGGTGGGTCCACCAATGCCCGAGCAAATGGAGCCAAATTGTCTAGCAGCAATGTCTTGTGGTCCGGTACCACTCAGACCTATCGAGTGGGTGAATCCCGCTTTCGTTCCAAAAATTGATGGTCAACAATTTTGTTACACTGACTATCAGGTAATTTTCCCTCACATTAAAAACTCTCAAATTATCAAAAATATTAAAAATAATTACATTATACAATTAATTACACTATGAAAATGTAGAAAAAAAATAACTAAAAATATTAAATTAAATAACGATACAATTAATTAAATTACAAAAGTTATGTTACGAAAAAAATAGCTATAATTATCTATGTAATTAAATTTAAAGTCAGAATATTCGAAACAAGGAATAAAAATCGAGTGATAAAAGTATTTTTTCTAGAATCTAATTTCGTTAATAAATAATTAATTAATGGAGCAAAAATTAAAATAATTTTAAATAAAGAAAATAATTTTAATAGAATTTTTTGTTTCCGTTTCCAGTCAGCGCAGGGTGTTGATTGCGCAGCAATGGTAGACGCACAAGGAATGATGGTGACTGCCGAAAATACGAATTTAAATGGTAATGAGAGTTATGCGGAAAGTGCGAGTTGCAGTGGAAGCATCGCTGGCGAAGATACATTGGAACAAACTGAGGAAAACACTGAAGAGCTTCCAGTTAATGAAGTTCAGGATAATTATAACGGAGGAGCGTACATTGAGCCTCCGACACTTGTGCCGCCAATGCACATAACACCCGTCGTGCAACCATTACCGCAGCCCTACATGTATCCTGGACACTACATGTTTGGACCATCGCTCGTTAACGTTAATGGTTAGTCCCCCTGATTAATAGTCATTTTTCTCTCAATTTTTCAAAGAAAAACAAAAAATACTCAGACTGCCACTTCTATATTATCATAAGGACCGGAAACGAATTCATTCACTTTCAATCATTGAAACTAAATTTTGGGCATGACAAATTTTTAATAGTTGGAAAAATTGAGAAACTAGGGTTGCTACGCAACCTGAAAACCTGGAAATGTCAGGGAATTTTATAAACCTTGAAAAAACCTGGAAAAATCAGGGAATTTTGATCGAAATCCTGGAAAATTATTGTTTTCTAAAGTTTATTCTTGAAATCTAATTTCACTTAAATATTTCAAAATTAATTCAATTTTAAAAGAATTTCGTTTACAATTTTTATAAGTAGATGAACTTTTTCAAAAGATTTTGATTTAAAATTTTGTAAAATTTCAATTTTAAATAAATTTAATTAGAAATATGAAAAAACTTAGATTTAAAAAAAAATTTGAAAAACTAAAATTTTTCTGAAATTAGTTAAATTTTTTAATATAAAATTAACTAGTTTTATTAAAAATAATAGATTTATAGAAGAATTTTAGTTAAATACACTAAAACAAATTGAATTTTAAAGCAATTAGAAATGATTGCAGAAATTCAATTATTTTCAAAAGTAGTTAAATTCTTCTCAGAAATTCAATTATTTTCAAAAATTTTAATAAAATTCTTGGCAAAATTTTAATTATTTTAAAAAACTTTCCTCAATTCAATGATTTTTAATATCTACTACTTTAATAAAAATTCCTAAAAAAAAATTCAATTAGTTAAGAAAAATTTTAATAAAATTCTACGCAAACATTTCATTATTTTTATAAATAATAAAAATTTCACTGGAATTCAATTATTTACAAATTATTTTCATATATTATTCAATTATTTTCTTATTATTCTTAAAAATTTTATTAAAATTTAATTATTTTAATAACCTTTTCTACAATTTATTTATTTGAATTTAAGTATTATTTTCAATAAATTTTTAATTCAATTTCTTTAAAGAATAGAACTATTTTTAAAAATTTTAATGCAATTCTTTGCGTTACAATTCAAGGTTTTTCAAAATAAATGTAATAAAATTCTTAGCAAAAATCCAGTTATGTTTAAAATTTTTTTAAATTCTTGTCAAAATTTCAATTATCTTAATAAATAATAAAAGTTTCTTCCGAAATTCAATTATTTTCAAAACTTTTAATAAAATTTTTCGCAGAATTTCAATTATTTTTAATACAATAATTTTCATAAAATTTCTCGGAAAATGCAATTATTCTTAAAAATTTTATTAAAATTTGTCAAAAGAATTCAATTATTTAAAAATTTGTTGGCAAAATTCTTTATGAAAATTCAATTTTAAGAAACATTCAATTGTTTAATAAAATATTCATTTTTATAGTTAAATAATTAAATTTTCGTAGAATTTTCTAATAAATATTGATTTAAAAATGAATTTCAAATTAAAATCTTTGAAAATTGAAACTTTTTATACTTTTAAATTTTAATGAAGAATTCTATAGAATTAATTTTTCTCAATAAGTTTAATGGAATTTTTTTCTAATTATTTCAAGTTTTTAATTTCTAACATATTTAATTGAAGGATGTCACTATAATCGAAATTTTGTAAAATTAAATTGTAAATAAACAAAAGAATTTGAAAATTCACAAAGAACTTTTTCAAAAATTATTAAAAAAAAATTGAAGAATTTTAGTTGTAAATTCTAGAAATGAATAATCGTAATAAAGAAAATAATTTTTGAAGAAGTTACAGTAATAAATTAGCAAGTTTTATAATAATATTCTTGCTATTGAATTTCAAATTTTTGAATATCGTAATTTCTATAAAAAAATAACGATTAAATATTCATTTAAAAATGAAGTTATTGTTTTCGAATAATTTTCGTTTTAGAAACCTGGAAAAATTCCGTTTTTTAACCTGGAAAATCTGAAAAAGTTAGGAACTTTGAAAAGAGTAAAAGCGTAGCAATCCTGAAGAAACAAAAATATTTTCTAAAAGATAATTTTCATACCAAATTAAATAAAAAAAGAAGAAGTAATTAAGAATAAAAAAATTTTTCACTCCTTGAAATTAATTTGTAATTGTATTCCACGATTTAATTGCAATTATGCAAAAAAAAGAAACAAATTTACATAATTGTAAGTAAACATAGCGCTCGTTTTGTAAATGATTCTAATATTAATCGGGAACAGTATCAATTGGATGCATGGTCAAGGGAAAGAGATTAACACATATTCATGATTGCTGTCCTGTTCATCAACATCGTTGCTGTATTTTTTCCGTCGTACCTCTACCACATTTAAGGTAATAGGTTAAAATTTCGCGAATCGTCTTTTTGTTTTCATTTTCTTCCCTTTTTTTTTTGTATACGATCGTGTCATCATTTGTTCCTAAATTTATTTCAATTAACTTGTTCACTGAAGCGCGTGAATTTAATTCAAGACTCTAATTCAACAAAACAAATTCCAGAGATTTCGAAAGTGTATTCCGCGCACTATATTGTCTTATTCAATAAATTAGAGGATAATATTTATTTAGAGGTCTAAATTTATGGTTTCTCGACTATTCGTCTTTTAGTAGCTTAATTGCTTTTGCATCTAGTCATTTAGAGAGGATAAAGTGCTGTTTGTAGCGTTTGTCTTGGCAAAGTTCCTTGAACTCATTTTACCTTTCTGTGAAATTCTTATCTGTTTTATTCAAAAAGCTCACGTCTTATTTTCTCAATTAAGTGCCGACGTTTAATTATAGAAAGTCGAGAAATTCTCGAGAAAAAGGTGGAAAAAAGGAAAAGGCAAACCCTTTTCTTTGTTTTACGCACGAGGAATAGAAAAAGAAAACTAAAAAAAGTTGCAAAAAATCTACAAGGTTTAAAATAGACTCAATAATGTAACGTTGCAAATTTTGTTTGATTATTAAATTAAGTTTGTTAAGCATACGTTTCAATACGAGAAAAATTGTCAATTAATGTAATAATTATTTCGATTAAAAGTGAATTATAGTTTGATAAAAATTGAAAGAATTGAAGGAACTCGGTTTCACGATCGTAACCAAAAAAAAAGAAGGAAAATATGTCACTCGATGTTTATTGTTTGTCTGTCATCGTAATTATCACTTGGAATGTCAAGTTTCACTTTGAAAATTTAATGCCTCGGTGAGAGAGTCCGATTCGAGTAATAAATTCGAGACACAATGATGACAATAAAAAAGGCACTTTACGGGACCTATTGACTTGCACGAATTACCACGAAGGGACTCGGTATTTAGCATAAGAAATATGTAGTCAGAGGTGCAATTCTGTAAGTGCGAGGGCTTTGGCAGTCATGGCACATTGCTGCACTCTAAATAGATATGTTTAAAAATAAACTATAGCGTTAAAGCGCGTCGCAAAGATTTTCAAAGACAATTCTAGTGTGGGGAACTTTTTAGAAAAAGAAAAAAAAGAAAAAAAAGAAAATAGCCGTCTCTCGCCATTCATTCGTGTCCAATTGGAATTAAACCGAGCGGGCAAAAATCAGTGTCCTCTCTCTCTCTCTCTGTCTGTCTCCCCAGCACTCTTTCTATTTTCTTCTTCAACTTTCGAAAGTAAATAGAGAACACTTTTTCTGTCTCAAGGTGTCACCATCCAAAGCGGGCCAATGGTCAGGTACAACGATGTCATGGCACCAACAACACCAATGACGTGCGCCAAGTGGAGAAGAAAGAAAAGGAAGAGAAAGCAGAAGCGACCTCCTGTTCCTGTAAGTCGATCAAATCCTACATTTCCGCCTATTCCCTGTAAACATTCAATTAAATTATATTATTTTTCTCATCATTACTATTTTTCTCCACTAATCTAATCAATTCAATAAAGTAAAATTCTGGCTTCAGGGAAATACGGAGGACGAAGAGGAAGAGGAATACAGTTCGGAATGGGAGAATGGTTCAACACGACAGCCTTGGACGGAGAGTTCATCAACAACAACAACAAGGCCCCTAAATCCTGAATGTCAAGAATTCCAACTTCGATCCAATGTTGACAGTCAATCGCCAAATGTTGAATCATCCACACCTCACGAGAATTCACTCATGGAAACAAATTTGAATCTGCCTTCCTTGGAAATTTCCACTCTTCAAACGAGTCAAAATTCACACGAAGACAAAGCAGCAACTGTTTCCATGACAAACATGCTCAACGACTGTCCCATTAATGGGGACAATTCAAAAAGACTGACCGAATCCTCCTCCGGATTCCCGCAAGAACCTTCCGCAAAAGAGACTGACGGAGGCACAATAGAACCACGAGGTGCTTCAATTAAAGACGAGCCCAATTTCCACGATTCCTCCAAATCATCCAATCAGCACAACAATTCACACGATCACACCATCAACGTTCCAAATTCACCATCAACTGAAAATTTAACAAATCATCTTAATCATCATCTCCACAATCATCAAAATTCCACGAAGGTTCAACAATTAGCAAACATTCAAAATTCCCCAATTAGTCAAAAATCAACAAATATTCATCATCAAAAATCATCAAAATTATCCAATAGTCAAAAATCACCGAAAAAATCGTCAAGTGGCAAAAAATCAAATAAATCGTCAAACATTCAAAAATCTTCCCCATCGAGTATCGAAAATTCAAAAATTGAAAATTCGACAAATATTCAAAATTCGAATATACAAAATTCTTTGAATGATCAAATTGATGAAATTTTACCCATCGATCATCAGAATTCTCTCAATATTTGCAATTCGTCAAATACAAAAACAGACGATGACGAACAACTATCGCGAGAGATCATCAACCTAAAAATACGAATTAACGGCATTAGACCAACAAAAGCAATCGTTGAAGCCACAACACCACAAGATGAAAAACCATGTTCACGAGCTGCTAGTCCGGAAATAAATTGTACAATAACTCCAATAAATGCCGAGACGCAACGTCTTCCTGAAATTTACGAATCCCTAGTCACAAGACCCATTGTTCCACCAAGAAGAAAATACAGTGCAAAGAATTCAAAATTCGTTCGCGAACCAACACCGGGTCCCGATTTAACCGATGAATTCGATTTGGAAAAAGAGAAAAAAATTGACGATAATCAAATGCACAATGGTTCATTGAACTGCGAGCGTCTTGATGATTCTCAAATAGTACAAACAAACGATGATAACATCAATGAACGAGTGAAATTTGAAGAAAAAGAAGAAGAAAAAATTCAACCACTCGAAAATAAAGTAAATCGTCCAATAACCGAAGCAGTGACGGAATGGCTTCGTAAGGCAGACTCACAGGATTTATTTGTCACCACAACGGGTCTTGAATCGGAGACTGACAGTGATGATATCGACGATAATGAAGAGCACGATGAGAGTGATGAGGTGAATGATGAGAATTTAACGAGAAAGCCGCCAAAAAACTTGCAGGGCAACCCCATACCTGCACTATCTTCTAAAGGCTATGTCAACAATGAATTGTTGATACGTCTCGCCAATTGCGGCGATTTCGCAACAACAAACAAAAAAATTCGAGAGCAATTAAAGAGTTTGACAAAAAGTTCGTCATTAATTTCGCGGAGAATGAAAAATTCAAGAGGTAAATTTAATAAAACTTCTGACCACAATGGTAACATTAAATTATGCAACTCCGTGAAGGTTAACAACTTAATGTTTGTTGGTGATTGCGATTTTACCAAGGAGGATAGCGATGCGGGTATGAGGGTTGCCTTAAACTCTCGGACAAATGATGATGAGGTGAAGAAGATCCAATGTGACAAGAGAATCCCAACGGAGGATCCAACAATTGTGAAAACATTCGAAAAAGGCGAAATTGTTGTATCAATTGAGGGTAAACTCCTGCAGGATAAGAAATTTCACTACGAGCCGAGTAAATGCTTTCAGAACGAGCAGTCAGAGCGGTTTGAAAAAGACAAGATGACGAATGAAAAAAATGATGATGGGAAAAAATGCAACGACAACGACGACGATGATGAAGAAATGGAGATTGAGGAGCCAGATGTGCTTGACTGTTGGGAGGCTGAGATTGTTGAGCCAATTTTAAAGCATAGTAATTCTCTTAATCAAGAAAAAATCGAAAAAGAAGAGGATGATCTCGATCCAGAAGTGGAGCACGTGAAAAATGACAAACTCATAAAGGAAAGTGTGACAAGTGACATCAGCGTCATAAATAATGAGAAAACGAACTCAGGTAACGTGCCAAACAGTCCCGCGAGTCTTCAAAGTGAGGAGATTCCAATTTTCATGTCGACAAAACAAAAAATACCAATTGATGAGGCTTTCGAGGTTTATGAAAGTTGCTATAATGGAAATCAATATATCACTCTGGATCCGAGATTCAGGAGGCAGTCAAAAATTGGTCACGAGGACGGCCCTATACCTTGTAAAGCGGTCTGTTGCAATATACAGTAAATTCTATTTGTAAACTCGTTATCGGCAGGGACGATATTCTTTAGGATTAGTTCAGATCAGTGTCATTTTGAAACAAACAAAAAAGAAACACTTTAAAACGAATTCACTCATCAATTAACGACAAGAAAGTACAACGTTAAATATAATGAAAGTCAATTAATAACATTTTTCTCAAAAAACAAAGTTTCTTAATTTATACCTACGCTTTTAAATTCAATGCGAAAGAATTCATCTTCAGTTTTTCTTCATTTTTAATAGATCATCTCTATTTACCAGATTTAAAAATAAAATGATCCGCAATTTTTGAACGAAATATTTTATTTATTTTCAAAAATTACTAATTACAACAAAAATTAACATGTTAAATATTCTCAAACTTTAAAATTAATATTTTCATTAACTAAATTTATAAACTAATAAATTTATAAATTTATAAATTTATAAATTAATAAATTTATAAATTAATTAAATTAATCAAATTAATTAAATTAATTAAATTTTGATAAATTAATATTATAATAAAATTTTTACTCGAGGAAGAAATAAATAAATTTCGTTCATTTGAACCTTCAGAACTTTAGGAGCATAAAAAATAGTAATTTAGGCAAAAAATTTTCTAATTTTAAAGTTTTTAATGTTCCTAAAGTTCTGAACGTTCAAATGAACGAATTTTTTCATACTAAACATTTTCGGCAATATTACTGATTACAATAAAAATTCAAACTTGAAACTCAATAATTTTGAAAAAGTGATAAAAAAAACAAAAGATTTTATAACAAAATTTTAATTTGAAGAAGAAATAAATAAATTTCGTTCTTTTAAACGTTCAGAATTTTAAGAGCATAAAAAATAGTAATTTAGACAAAATAATTTTCTACTTTAAAAGTTTTTAATGTTCCTAAAGTTCTAAAAGTTGAAATGAAGGAAATTTATTTCTTCTTCAAATTAAAATTTCATTATAACATTTATAATGTTTGTAATATTATAATTCATAATATTGTATAATATGAATCACATTTTAAAAATATTTCACTTTGAATTTTTATCGTAATCAGAAATTGTTGAAAACATGATAAAAATAAAAATAAAAAAAATGTTTGTAATAAAAATATTTCGTTCATTCAAAAGTTAAAAAACTTGTATGGATCATAAATTTTACTTTATTTATTTCCTTTTTTTTATATTTTCTTATTACTTTTTATTTGGCACAAGTAAAAATAAATATTTTATGGCAGAAAAAATTTTTACTGTGAATTTTACGTAATTTTAATTTCACTAATTTAATTAATTAATTTAATTAATACATCAGGTTGTATATTATATAAAATATAATAATAATGTTAGTACAAAAATTTTAATAAGAATGTTTTACTCGTGTCTTCTCGTCTTTTATATACATTAACAATTAATATCAATACAATCAAAATGACACTGGTCTTCTTCTTTATCTCTATTTCTTCAAAAAAATCAATTTTTCTCAAAAAAAAACAACCAAAAATGATTTTTTACAAACCAGAAAAATTTAAAAATTAAATTTTAATATTTCTTTTTTCATTTTATTTTCAATTTTGTCATTTTTTTTTTTTTTATTTTTTGGGAGAATTCAATTAAAACCAAAAAAATACGATTTTTAAGAGAATTGAATCGTGGAATCTTGGAATCGCAATGGAAGGATCTTCGCCTTGCAATTTTGTGTTTTGTAAATAGCTTTTTAATCGCAATCGTAATAACGTTGTGAATTTTAAGGAAAGCTCATGTGTCCTATAAAATTAGGTGTAAATTAGCCTTGCACTTGCAGTTCACTAGACTGTATTTACGCAGAGCATTGTTCATAAAAAAGAAAAAAAATAGTCTTTCACTAAAAATGTTAAAAAAAAAGAAGAAGAAGAAAATGTTCATTCAAATTATGAGTGCGTGTACTCTGATCTTTTCTTTTTTTATGTTGAGAATGGACTCGTGTTGTCATTTGTTATCTTGCTTGCATGTAAGCTTTATTATTCAACGATAACAATTTTTCGAGATGCAGCAAGTTTTACAAAAAAAAAAAGAAATTTAATTTTATAATGAAAAACATTTCGCCTATCTACTTAAAAAAGAAAATTATGTAAAATAGTTTCACGCCAAATGTTAAAAAAAAAATTTCTATTTAGTTATTTTCTTTTAAAATATTATTCGTTATTCAATGATTCAAACTCTATTCAACTATGATATTAAATTTGATAAATTTAATCATGAATTTGATAAATTTATTATTAAATTTGCTAAATTTAATCATGAATTTGATAAATTTATTAAATTTATTAAATTTATTAAATTTTATCAATTTATTCAATTATAACAATTGACGCATTCAAATTATCATTTTGGGTTTATTTGAATCATTAATTTATTAAATTTAAGTTTAGCATATTATTATTATTGGTCGTGAGATATGAGGCTTATTATTATTATTGAAAATAAAGAAAAAATAAAAATAGTTTTGAGAAACGATAATTTGTTATAATGAGGGGGGGGGGGGCATGGGGAAGAGAGAAAAACAGGTTAACGACGCGTTGTTATTGTTATTGTTCTTATTATTCTATAGATGTTAATCTTGAACAAGGACAGAGTCATAATGTCTCAATGTTAGAGAATATGTTTTACAACTTAATTAACAGAAAACAAAAAACAAATTTTTCAAATATAAAAATATCAAATAAACATCGCGTTTTAGACAAATTTTCAGTCTATAATTATATTACATAGAGAAAAAATGAAGCTTTGACTTTGTGGTCGCACAGAGAAATATAGAAATAAATTTTGATTATTGAAAACAAAAAGGCTAGGACAAGTTTTACCAAGGATTGCTAATTAGCGTAATTGTATTATCAAAGTGAATTCTAGAAAGCTAGTCAAATACGTAGAATTTTATCTTTCTTAACCGTAAATTTTTCTGCAAGTATAAAAATTCTTTACTGTTAATATTAAAATAAAATTAATTTATATTTTCCAATTTTATAATTGACATATATTTTTTATTATATTTTTCGATAAATATATTAATTAAAAAAAACTTAAAAGAAAAAAGAGAAGAAAATTACTCGTCGACAGAGATTTGTAAAAATGTTTCGAAACAAGAAGACAAAACTTGTGAAGGAAGGAAAAATATCAGTGAAATTATTTTTTAATGTTGAAACTAATTTTTTAATAAATTGTTGAAATTCGTTTCAATGATATTTTTTCTTGCTTTTGTGGAAATTTTCCCTTGTTTCTAAAAATTTTTCCAATTTACTACTAGTTTCGAGATATGCAAAGAAAAATTGAAAGAAAAGAAAATAAAAAAGGGTATATTGGTTCTTAATATTTTTTTACGAGTCAAGAAAGATAAAATACATGAATTACGTTAAATCATTATTATGTAAAAGGTGTTAAAAGAATTAGAAATACAATTTAGATGACGAGATGCATGATTGATAATGGCTCCCAAATATCGAATTGAAATATAGAGGAATAATAACAAACTCATAGTTGGCCGAAATTTTTTTTTTCGTGATTAAAATACAAAATAACAAAAAAAAAAGACGCAAACTAAATAGATTGTACGGTAGTTATTAATATGAGACATTTTGTAAATAGGGTAAAGCTTGTTAAAGGTTCAATATTGAAGCCTTGAAGTGATTAGAAATGGGGGAGAGAGCGAATTCTTTTTGTTGCAATAGACGAGGATAAAATCGCGTCATATATAAATATATATATATTTAAATAGGCAAAGGACACACTCACGTATAATATTAAAAAAACATGAGTTTGATAACAAGGTCTACTTATCGCTAAACTAAAGTGTGCGTTGCATCAATTGTGTGCCTTATTCTGTGGCGGCCATTTTTGTAACAATTTCAAAAAAAAAAATCAGAGCTAATTGATCCTTACCGAGGTGCGAACCATTTATTTAAAAATGCAAAAGAAAATTTGATTATAAAATAAAAGAAGATGAGAAAATAACGAAAAGTGAGTGGTCTCAATTAGACCTCAATGAACTAATTGTTAATTTAATAATAAATAAAAGACAGAATTAATTACACGAGTTATAATTATAATTGATTGGGCGTGAATATTCAAACTGAAAGAAAGAAAAATGAAAAGTCACCGGTTCCTTTTCATGTAACTAACATTGCGTACGTATGTACATAATACATACCTAATTAAAACTCACACATGGCTACATCAGTACGTATTCATTGAAAAAAAAAAAAAAAAAAAACATAAATGATACATTTGTCACATACATATACTTGCGACGAACACAAAAGTCATGTTACTGTACACTTAAAATTTTAGTTGTATCGAAATAAAGTGTAAGGTTTAACTTACTTCAAATCTCGTTGTGTTTTTGCTTAAAAAATATGAATAAAAATATTCAAAGAAGAGGATCGATGATACTTGTGTTTTATTTATGCATTCTATTTATACTTCATTTATTTATTCACTTTTAAAAAATATTTATAAAAATATATTTTTTAATTCAAGTGCGCGTGTATATAAAGTTTCGAAAATAATATTTTAATCAAATTAATGCTTTCGTGACAATTCAAAATTGTTTCAAATAAATTTAATCAACGACTTGAACTCTCAAATATTTTTTAATGACAATATTTTTAAAAATTACTGATTTTAATAATTAAATTTAAAATTAAAATCTTAAATTTAAATTTAATTCAGAAACAGAATTAATTCAGAATTAATTCAGAATTAATTTTTTTGACAGTGACGCAAAGTTATTCTAAAACGAATTTTCTAATTTTTTTTCTAATAAAGGTGAATTTCTAAAAAACTTTTTTCTAATGAAAGTCATTCTCTAAATTTTCTTTCTTCTAATAAATATCATTTTCTAAAAATTTCTTTTTCTAACAAAGATAATTTTCAAAAAATTGTTTTCTATAACAATATTCAATTTTTGATATAACGAATGATTAAAAAATAAAATTTACGAAAATTTTTTAATTCTTTAAAAAAAGTACATGAGATTTCTTTAAAAAATAGAAATTATGCAAATTTTTCAACAAAATTTTTAAATAATCTAGTTAAAAATCGTAATTAACAAATAGAAATTATAGGGATCTTTTCCTAAAGATATTTTAAATTTTCCAACAAAAATGTTTTATAAATAAATTAATGTTGGAAATTTTTTAAGAATAATGCAAATTATTATTTTTTTTCAACGAAGAACAGAATTTTGTTAACAAATTGTGATGAGAAATAATAATTTCAAAAAATTTTTTCTACTTTTTCGAAAAGAAACTTATAATTTTGTAAAAAAAAAATTGTGATTGAGAAATAGAAAATATGCAAAATAGTTTCTATTTCTTAATCTTAATTTTTTTAACAATTTTCTAACTTTTATCAAAATTATGGAATTTTACAAATTTTAGGAAAATAAATATTCGAAATGATAACTTTTTAGAAAAACTTTTTTAGAAATTAAAACTTGTTAGATAAACCTTTTTCAGAAAACAGATTTCATTAAAAAATGCTTTTTTCTAGACAAGAAGGATTAGAAAATATATTTTAGAAAAAGTGACCACCTACCCTCGAAATTATTTCTTCTTTGATAAAAATAAATATTTCAAATTATATAAATAAAATAATGATAAGAATAAATAATTATTCCGAAAAAAAATAATAAATAATCATTTAAATCAAATTTTCAATAATTTTTTCATATAATTAATTAATTATTTTATTGATTTATAATTATTTAAATCAAATTATTTGTAGGTATCAAAAATATTTATTTTAATAACCTAAAGAAGAATTTACCAATTCAACTATAGAAAGAGGAAAAATTCAACAAAACTTATACGAAATGGAATTTTTCTAAAAAATCCCCTCTAAAGAACTATTGAAGAAAATCGAAAATCAAGCAAAAGAAGAAATCAAAGAAAATGGAAGACAACAGAGATACAATTTCAGACTTTCTAGAAAGAAAGTGATCCAACGAAAATTTTTAAATCCTAAATTGTAAAAATCAAATCCTAGAAGTGTAAAAATTGTAACAAAATTAGATGTGGAAAATGGGGAAAATTTCACATAATGACAATAGTGGATCATTTAAAAACCAATTACGAAAATAATAATTGGCTTTTGTTAGAGATAAAAGGTCATTAAAATCTGAAAATAAGAAGACATCCTAATTTAAATTTTTTAGGCTTTAGAAAAATTGAATCAATTAAATTGATAATTAACTTTGATTAAAACTGAAATTTGAATTTTGTGAAAATGGAATTCTTTTATTTTCAAGTTATTTTTATTTTATAAAATTGTATTTTAAATAAACTAAAAATGAATAAAATAAAATTGAAAATAAATAAAAATAAATCAAAGAATTAAAATTTTTATGAAATTTTTAATTTGAATCATTTCAATTTTATAAAGAATGGATTTTAGAATTAAAGTAGTAATTATGTAAAAAAAACATTTCGAATATAACTATTAATGAAATAGAAAAATTAACAAAAAATCTTTAATTTTAGAATGAAAGAAGTAATCATGTAAAAAACATTTTGAATACAGATTATTGAAATGGAAAAATTAACACAAAATCTTCTTGGTCTCGTAGTGAAATTTATGTAAATTTGCTCAGTCCATAATTTAAAAATACAGAAAATATAAACACGTTTTTATAATATTTAACAATTTTTAACATTGAAAAGAATCGATTAAACTTAACAAATTTTGTTAAATATATAAAATGATAGTTAAACTTCTCAATTATAAAATTGTGCCCGTGTACCAAGAAGTTTTTCCCTAATCTAAGAAATATACAAAATAAAAATCCACCTGCTACTTAAATAGATTAATCGTAATTTGACATAAATTAATTATTAATCGATTTAAGTAGCTGTCATTATGGAATTTTTCAAAATTATTACAACCTGCCTCCGCCACATCACTTTTAGAGACAGGAGGGACTCACCAGATGTTGTTAAATCCCTCTGCATTCATTCCTGTAAAAATAACTCTTTTAAATTAAAAATATCCAATTTTATTTTTATTCTACTTCAAAAAAAAATTTTTTTTTGAATGAAGTTCGAAAAAATTTTTTTTTTTAATGAAATTTATAATTTTGTTTAGAATTTTTACTAATTTTTACCTCAGGCAAAAGTGTAGAGATGCACGATTGGAAACCTTTCATTTTCTTGAAGTGTCGAAACCACACGATTTGTAAATAATAAATGCTTCACATTCGCGCACAGACTCTAGAATTAATTTAACTAAACTCGCACTGACTCTACAATTATTTTTACAAAATCCACACTGACTCTAGACTTTTACTTTATTTTTTTTATATAGATAATTTGATAGATATTTGTAAACAAAAAATATTTCAAACTCGCGCAGAGACTCTAGAATTAATTTAACTAAACTCGCACTGACTCTACAATTTTTTTTACTAAATCCACATTGACTCTAGACTTTATTTCACTTTATTTTTTTTCTTGATAGATAATTTGATATTTACACTCGCGCACAGACTTTACAGTTAATTTAACTAAACCCTCACTGACTCTACAATTTGTTAACCAACTTGTTAATTATTTAACTTCCAATTGCATATTTTTGTTAACTTTTGTCCTTCTCTCGAGCAATCAACTTTCAATCCAAATTTACTCATTCTCAGATAGACCCCTGAAAAAAACGAAAATTTATTATCATTTGTTAAACAAGGCAATTTATATTTTTAGATTCGAAAAATTTAATATTATAGGGTTGCCACGCTTTTACTCATTTCAATGAATTTTGTTATTTATGAATTACGAAGATAATTAAATTCTTGCCAAGAATTTTATGAAATTTTTTGAAAATAATTTAATTTTTGCAAAAAAATTTGTTATTTTGAAGATAATTGAATTCTTGATAAGAATTTTGTTATAACTTTTGCAATAATTGAATTCTCGGAGTAATAATTTTTTTTAAAACTTTTAAAACTAATTAAATTATTTCAAATAATTTAATTAAAATTGTATAACAGAATGATTGGATTCTTGAGAAGAATTTTATTAAATGTTTTGAAAATAATTGAATTTCTGGGAAGAATTTTGTAATTTCTAAGATAATTTAATTCTTGATAAGAATTTTGTTACAACTTTTGCAAATAATTGAATTCTTGGAATAATTTTATTAAAATTTTTAAGAAGAATTGATTTGTTTTGAAGACTTTTATTAAGAACTTTTAAAAATAATTAAATTCTTCCAAAAAATTTAATTAAAATTGTATTGAAAATAATTACATTCTTGAGAAGATTTTTAACAACAAATTTTTAATTAATTGAATTCCTTTGACGAATTTAAATAAAAGTTTTAAGAATAATTGCATTTTTCGAGGAACTCGATTAAAATTGGAGTAAAAAATAATTGAAATTCTGCGATGAGTATTATTAATTATAAAAATAATTGAATCTCTTTCAAAAATTTGATTATTTATGAAAATAATTGGATTATATTAAAATCGAATTAATTTTGAAATATTTAAGAAAAATTAGATTTCAAGAATAAGCACAATAACTTTAGAAAACAATAATTTCCAGGATTTCGATCAAAATTCCCTTACTTTTCCAGATTTGTTTATGGTTTATAAAATTCCCTGACATTTTCAGGTTGTGTGGCAACTCTGTTAACAATCGTACAGAAAATAATTTAAATAATAATAAAATTATAAAAAAATTTACTTACAAATAAATTTTATATAATTCGTTGATATAGTTTTATCATTGACAGTGAAAATCATCCGTCTGTAGGGAACCATTTTTATTTCGTCGATCAAATTTTGGCCATATAAACACTTTTTTAATTTGCATCATAGATTTGCCGTTTTGTACAAATTAAACCCAATTTTGGATGAAAAACAATCCTTTATGTAGATTTTGCATTTTTGTTTTTAAAAATTTGTTTCCATACTTTTTGTCGATGCTCCAAACATGTAATGCGCCAACATAACCTAAAAATCAAACGATTGTTAATGTCAGATAAAGTAATATTTACTAATCATACTTAAATTTCCAATAAAAAATAATATTCTAATAGTAATAATGTATAACTGAGAATCATGATTTCAAAAATTGTGACAAATTTCTACAAAAGAAAATTCAACAAACCATAAGATAGACGGCAAAACCTAATTTCCCATTTTGTCACTAACTGATCAATTTTACTCAAAGTTTTTATAAAATATCGTGCTTTAGGATCTTAGTAACACACAAATTAAAATAATTTCACCAAAAATATACGAAATTAACATTTTTTTAAAGAAAAAATACACAAATTATCAAGAGCGATATTTCACTTCGGAAAAATTTTACGAGACTGCTAGTTTCAAAACTCTTGGTTCTGATTGGTCGGAGTTGTAACACCGATTTTGATTGGAAGGCACTACGTTTATCAATTTCAGATTGAAAATCAATTAAAAATTAAATTGTTTACAAACATTTACCAAATTGTCCAATACTATTTAAGTTAAATTTCATTAATTTCATTTAACAAATATTCATATTATTTATCGCTTTTTTAATTGTGACTTTGTGAGAATTCGATCTAGGGAATTTGATGTTTCCCTATTTCCGGTTCAATTACAGCGGGAAATTTCAAACATACAACAACAAAATTGAGATTTATCTTTCTAAGACTTAAAATAATTTCATTGATAGCGTCTTTTGGTAAAATTAATAAAAATGAATTTCCTTTTGTTTTTTACTATAAAATCTGAGTTGATTGATAAAACTTGGTTAATTATCTTACACGAATTGCGATTGCGTGCAGAGAGGGATTACAGATGTAGAACGGGAAGCAGTTGCCAGGCGCCTGCGCTTGGTTAACCTATTGAGAATTTTATCTGTCATTCGCGACGCGTTGTTTTATTTAATTGTAAATAATTCGTTCTCATTCGGATAAGAGCTTGTGTGCAGCTTGGAAATAAATCAAGAAATTTATCATGGGGCACAAGGAATTTCAAATGCTAATTGAACTCGAATCATTGAGTGAAATATGCCGCTACTGTGGACGACAGGTACATGAAAAAAATAGATTGAGCAAAGAATGCTTCGATTAGTATCAAAGAGCCACTGGATTTCAATCCAATCACTTGGCAATTATTATTATTTTCATCTCTATCGACGGCAAAGAGTTAATCGAGGAAACAAATGTTATAAACGAAAAAATGTTCATCGAAATGGTTCGACTCTCTTATCAACACAGAGCATTCTATTGCTATGTCATTCTTACGGTTTGGATTTTTCTACTTGTGGCAGGTAATTTACTTCTGTTTTTTAATTTGTCATGTGTACTAAAAATAAATTGATCTAAATTGATAGGTAGTGAAAAATGTTATGTCGAAAGTTTTTGACAGGACGCCAAAAGAAAATATCCAAAACACAGTTTGTGGTTGTATATTGTAGCAGACGACAATTTTTTTTCTTATAGAAAAATTATATTTGCGGGATTATTTGAAAATTGTAGCGAAAGATTTAATCATATCTTTGATTACTATTGTATTTAAATAATAGACAAAATTTATATTCATATTTGAATTTGAATTATTAATTAATGAATAATTTTTTCAACAGGAATGTATAAATACATTGGGGTTGATGAGAACAGCTCGATACAAAACAGACCATCAAGTAGTGAATTATCGATAAAAGAATTTCCGAGAAATTTCAAAGTTGATCTGAAGACGAAAAAGATTTTTCGATTTTGTAACACTCCGAATGATATTATTCAGGGAAATGAAGGTAAATCGATTTTTGAACACAGGGTGGCCACATGACAGTAAGGTCAGGGAAATGTCGGAAAAACAAAATTTTTGTCAAAAATTTTTTTAGAACTTTTAAAAATAGTTAAATTATTTCAAAAAATTTAATTAAAATAGTGTTCAAAATAATTGAATTCTTGTCAAGATTTTTATTAAAATTCTTTAAAATAATTGAATTGTTTTGAAGAATTTATTTCAATTTTCTTGAAAATAATCGAGTTTTTTAAAAATAATTTTTACTGAAAATTTTGCAAGTAATTGAATTTTATGAAGATTTTCTTTTAAGTTATTAAAATATAATCGTGTTTATTATTAGTTGTAATTAACGATTTTTCTATTAAATTATATTAAAATTATTCATAGAAAATTTAATTCTTTTAAACAATCGTATTAGAATTTTTGTAAATAATAACATTTTTTGAAGAATTTCATTAAATTTCGTAAAAATAATATAATTTTTTCAAGTAATTTTAATTGAAAATTTTGAAAATAATAGAAATTTGCAAAGAATTTTATTAAAAACTTTTGAGAACAATTGAAATGTTTAGAAAAATTTTATTACAAATTTTAAAAATAATTGAACCTGTTCGAGAAATTTTATTAAAATTATCTTGAATATAATTGAATTTTTTCCAAGAAATATTAAAATTGTATTTAAAATAATTTAAGTTCTCAGAAGAATTTATTATTTACAAGAATAATTGAATTTTTGCTAAGAATTTTACAAGTTTATAAAAATAATTAAATTGTTTCAAAGAATTTTATCAGAATTGTTGGAAATAATTGAATTTTTATTACAACTCTTGAAAATAATTGAATTTAAATAATATTTTTAAAAATAATTGTATTCTGTCGAGAAATTATATTACAATTGTATTGAAAAAAATTTAATTTCTCATAAGAATTTTATTATTTACAAGAATAATTGAATTTTTGCTAATAATTTTACAAGTTCATAAAAATAATTGAATCGTTTCGAAGAATTTTATCAGAATTGTTGGAAATAATTGAATTTTTATTAAAACTCTTGAAAATAATTGAATTTAAATAATATTTTTAAAAATAATTGTATTCTGTCGAGAAATTTTATTTAAATTGTACTAAAAATAATTGAATTTCTCCGAAACATTTTATTATTTATGAAAATAATCGAATTCCTTTGACGAATTTTATTACTTACGAAAATATTTTAATTCTTGCGAAGAATTTTATTATATTTAAAAATAATTGAATTAATGCAGAGGATTTTACTATTCATCAAAATAATTGAATTGTTTGGAAGAATTTATCTGAATTTTTGAAAATAATTGAATTTTTTGTAGGAATTTTATTAAAAATTTTGAACGTAATTATTTTTTAAAAAGAATTTCATCAAAATTTATTATCGAAAATAATTGAATTTATATTACAATTCTTGAAAATAATCGAATTTAATTAATATTTTTAAAATTCTTTCGAGAAATTTTATTAAAATTGAATTGCTCCAAAGAATTTTATTATCCATGAGAATAATGAAATTCTTGAGACAAATTTTTTAAAAATTTTTGAATAATAATAAAAAAGAATATTTAATATTATGTACTTAATAAGTGAATTCTTTAAATTTTAAATCTGTAATCATTCAAAAATTGATGTTTATTCTTGAAAATATAAAATATTTTAATTTACAAAATAATAAGTAATGAAATATCGCGTTTAATAATAATTTTAATATCAGTAAATTGTCAGGGAAATTTGATAAACTGAAACTTGCGATCACCCTGGAACATATTTAATTGGAATAAATTCTAAAAATAGAATTTTTTTGAATAACTACAATTTTATTTTCAGGTAAAGTAGATGGGAATGTCACCTTAGGTGGTGTGATAATTCTAACTCGACACGGTGATCGGGGACCTTTGGCACACGTTCGAAATATAAGTACAGTAAATTGTGCTGGTGATTTTTCCAATAATCCCGAATTAGATGCAATTTATCAGAATTATCAGAATTTTATACAAAATGTCACACTTTATTCGCGTTCAGCGTGGGCTCAATTTTTGGGACCTTTCCATGGATTTCCAATGCTGCCGTCCAATTCACGGGACTGCAAACTTGGCCAATTAACGACTCTCGGCGTTGGTCAACTTTTGAAAATTGGCCTCGTCTTACGAAACGCTTACTATCATCGATTAAATTTAGCAAATAGCACTTTAACGTCAAAAGACGTCATTGTCTTTAGTACACGCTATCGACGAACTGTCCAAAGTGCCGTTGCACTTCTCTACGCATTCATCGGAAATGAGAATTTTCAAAATCTAGCCAAAATCTCACTTAAGGAAAGTCAAAGTTATGCATTTTGTTATTCGGATTGTGCTTGTGCTGCCGCTGACAAATACTCGAAAATCAATTCCAAGGTAAATTGACAAACTCTTTGTAATTATTGCAATTAAATCAGGATTGCCACAAGTCAGGGAATTCAGGGAAAAGTCAGGGGAAGTAAAATTGGTCAGGAAAAAGTAAGGGATTTTTATTAAAAGTATTGGAAAAAATTGAATTTTTAGAATTCATAAGAAAATTCTGAATCTTGTGTCTTTACAATTGAATAATCGATGAAGTTTTGTAAAATTGAATTGTAAACAAATTAATTTGAAAATTCTCAAAGAACTTTTTCGAAAATTAATAAAAATAATTGATTTAAAGAAGAATTTTAGTAAAAAATTCTAGAAAATAATAATTGAATTGAAATGATGAAAAATAATTTTGAAGAAGTTACAGTAACAATATTTTTTTAATATATAATAATTATTTTATATTTTAAAAATATTGTTATTATAAATTGTTTAATTTCAGAAAGGTTCGAATTTAATATTTCTGAGAATCTTAATTCCTATCGAAAAATAATAATGATTAAATATTTATTTAAAAAAGAAATTATTGATGTTTTCGAATAATTTTCCAATTAAAGAAATTCGTAAATAAATGTAATATTTTTTTGAGTATCTAACAAATTTTTAGAGTGAATCAGAATATTCTTTAGGATTAGGGAAAAAGTCCAAATTTCGTCTGGAAATCAGGGAAAAACAAAATTAAATTTTTGTGGCAACCTTGTTAATTTCTAATCCACTTTGAAATTAATAATTTTGTATCTTGTAGGAAATAACGAATCATTTGAAATCCCACCCGGCTGTTTCGGATTTAATTAAGCAAGCATCAAGTATTATTCTCGAAATGCCAGAACAAACGACAAATCCAAATACTCTCGTTGATTCTCTATTAACATACGTTTGTCACAATGCACCACTACCGTGTATGGACTTTGATTCACAAAGATTGTGCGTGAAAACGGAACATGTGACGGGAATTTTTGCCTACACCGAATGGGAAGCACGACAACATGGAAAAAGTCAAGCTCGTCGAAGACACGGTTTATTGCGAGCCTATGGACTTCTTCGCAATATTGTCAATCATATGTTGAGAATAATATCAGAAGGAAGACCGAAAATTGTTTTATATTCAGGTCACGATAGGACATTGGAATATTTATCGACTGCCTTGGGAATATTTGCCGATCACGCAATTCTACCACATTACGCGTCCAGATTTATCATCGAAATTTATAAAATTAATCCAAAAAATGAAAATCACGTTGCTAGTGATTTTTATTTTCGTATTATTGTCAATGGAAAGGATTTAACGCAAAAAATTCCCTTCTGTAAGAATGTGAATTTTTACAGTGCAACATTTATCGACGATAATGTGAGGGGGAAAAAAGAATCGAAATTATGTCCAATCGAAGCGATTATTCGACTTTTACACGATGATTATTTCGTTCCATTTAATGCGACAAATTTCAAAGACGCATGTTCGAATCACAAACACAATTAAAAAATTGTGATTGTATTGATTTTTTTTATCACTTTACATATCAAGGGTTTCTCTGAAGACTCATTTATAATTAAATTCTAAGATATAGATTAGATCTCAATATATTCAGTATTAAATTATCGATACTTTTTTTAAATTTTTTGCGAAGCCCTCGATATAAGACTCGCATTATCTAAGTTTACTCTAATTTTAGAGTTCTTCCAAACACTTAATCTTTGATCTCGTTTTTCGTTATTCTAGCAAAAAGTAGTTTCTCTATTGTATAATTTGCAAATGATGAAGTAATTTTTCTCTTGAAAAAAAAACTTCTAAATTTGCCTGAAAAATATTTCTTATATACTTAAAAAGGGAACGTTGTTTAGACAATGTCCAAAGATCCAATGGAGCCTTAAAAACAAAAGAAGAAAAAAATATATAAAAAAAAATCTAGACTGTGTAAACTCTTTGCGATAATCTCACAGATATTTAGCTTTAGATGGCCACTACGTATATTTTATCACACGATTTATTGTAAATATGTAAATAATTCTATCGAAAACAAAAAAATTAGAAAGATTTGCTGAAAGCACTGATATTGCATGTAAACTTAAAATTTGTTACACTGTAAGAAATTTTTGAAAAAGACGATTTTTTATAATTTATAAATAGTCTAATTTATTGTCTCTACGCAAATATTAAAACTGATTTTTTTTATTGAACAAAAAAGAAAACAGAAAAACAGATTTAAAATTTACAAATGCAAGCTTTTGGTGTATATAAAAGGTAAAATATCTCTAGAAAAATGCATAGAATCTACTGGATTTAAATCAAATGGATTTAACTCACGACCAAGCACATCCATTTTGAGAGAAGAAAAATTTCATAAAAAAAGGTAGTGAATAATTATCTCCGAATTTGTACTCTTCCTTATAATATATAAATTATCTAAATTCGATTTTTTTCCCTTTAAATCTGTTTATGTTAGAAAAATTTAGTTCATATTGAAAAATCATTTGTTTTTCGATAAATTTGAAATTTGTTATTAAATTGAATTGCGACTGTATTTTCAGTATTTTTGAATATTATTTCTCCGAAGGCTCCGGAAAAAAGGAGCCTAAGAAGCAAATTATTTTATTCACCTGAAATTTTTTGCTTTTTAAGTATTTTATTTGTTTATAATTTTGTATTTTACCGTTAATTCTCACAAAGTCCTCACTGGCATGAATTTTGAATTTAGATCATTTTTAGATTAAGAAATAATAAAAATTTAGGGGATAATATCAAATAGCACTAAAAAAAGTCATTTTTAAAATAGTTGTACCTTCTTCCTGGTTGCTAACAACCAATCACTCGTTAAGAAATACGATACGCACACGAATTAATGAGAAAGAAAAACTAGAGTTTAAAAACTGTTTTCCGATATTTGTTTCAATTGTTTAGCACCGCACGTACCAAGAAAAAAAAGCTGTTTTTATGTAAAAATTTATGATGGTATTAAAAACGTTCAAACGATACTGTTTTTGTTAGTTTTTCATAATTATCCTTCAAATGTCATATTTTCTTATCAATTTTTCTGAATTATAGTCGAAATGTCAAATTTTTTTATATTACTTTTTTATAATTATCCTTCAAATGTCAAATTTTCTATTAATTTTTCTTAATTATACTCTAAATGTCAAATTTTATCCAAATTTCGAAATTATTATTTATTTGATAATATTAATTATTATAATTTATTTAATAATATGAATTATTACAATTTATTATAATTATAATAATAATTATAATTAATAATTCAGGATTGCCACAGGTCAGAGAAAGTTAAATTAATCAGGGAAAAGTCACAATTTTCATAAATACTATACAGATTGATAGAAGAATTTTAGTTAAAAATACTAAAAAAAATTGAATTATGGAAAAGTTACAAATGATTCTAGAAATTCAATTATTTTCAAAAGTTATAAAAATTCTTCGCAGAGTTTCAATTATGTTAAAAATTTTTTTTAAAATTCTTGTCAACATTTCAATTATCTTTATAAATAATAAAATTCTTCATCGAAATTCAATTTTTTAAAAAAATTTTAATAACATTTTTAGTCAAATTTCACAGGAATTCAATTATTTACAAAATTTTAAATAAATTTCTTCGAAATAATTCAATTATTTTCATAAGTAATAAAATTATCACAGGAATTCAATTATTTAAAATACAAAATTTCATAAAATTTTCGAAAAATATCAATTATTTAAAAAGTTTTTTCAAAAATTCCTCGAAAAATTTATTTATTCTTAAAAATTTTATTAAAATTTTTTAAAAGAATTCAATTATTTAAAAATTTGTTGATAAAATTCTTAATGAGAATTCAATTTTAACAAACATTCAATTATTCAATAAATTATTTATTTTTTAATTTATAAATAATTGAATTCTTCTTGAATTTTCTAATAAAAATTGATTTAAAATTGAATTACCGAATAATCGATTTATTATTTATGAAAATAATTAAATTATTGCAACGAATTTTATTACATTTGTTTTGAAATAATTGAATTTTTTGAGAAATTGTACTACTTGTAAAAATAATTGAATTCTTGCGAAGGATTTTTGTAAATAATAATTAACTTTTTTTGGAAAAATTTTATGGTAATTTAAATTAATAATTACATTTATAATTATAATTAATAATTATAATTATAATTAATAAATTCTGAGGAAAAAAACTAAAAAATAATTGATTTTGAAATTACTTACCAAAACGGAATAGCAGCACAAGACATTTTGAGGTTATGTTTTTTTCTCATTTTTTGACATAACGAAGTTATTTTTTCAAAACAACATTTCAAAAGAAGTTTTCAGACAGTTCTTTCAGTATACTGGGAAAAAGTAACCTAAACAGACAAATTTATTATTATTCAACAGGTTGTTCTTTTATTTTCCAAAATTTTGTTATAAATAAAATTGTCACTGTCTTGCAAAAATATTGTTCTAAATAATATTTAAATTTTTCAGTTCAATATAAATAAATTACAAAGAGAAATTACAATTTACAGTAAGATTTGTTTTATATATTAACAATACAATTTTATTAATTAATTTTCTTATTAATTTAGTTATTTTAAAATAATAAACAACTAATATCAACAAACCGAAGCAGAAGTGAAGATTTTGACAATTGTCAATCAGTCAATGATTATTCATTAATGTTTTTTCAATAAAATACGTTCTTCGGTGTAAATAACAAATAGTTATATGTAAAATCACACAATTTACCGCAAGAAACATACAAAAATTAATGTAAAATATCAAAAATAATTAAATTCGGAGCAGCAGTTTGTCACTTTGACAAGAAATGACAAGTTAAGAGAATACCCGCTCTGGATTGGCTGATAAAAACCAAAATGGCCGCCAAATGTAAACTGAACTCTGATTGGACGACAAACTACCGCCAGATTCAAATTTGAATTTCGATTAAAAAAAATTAAACTTCAGAATTATAATTAAAAAAAGAGTTTTCTGTTCATTCCTAGCAATAAGAACAGGTAATTATCGAATCGGATTAAAAATTTTCTCTACTAGATTAGAATTAGAGTATGTTTAGAGTATTTTTATTAGAGACGTACTTTTTTTCAAAAGTATAGTACTTTTCTTAGTGAAACAGTTGTCAGCACTGATGAAATTGCGCACACTTCAAAACATCATTGCGCACAGTAATGTGCACACAAACGAACCAGACAAATACTTGAATAAATTCCTTTTGTATATGTTTGTGTCGGTGTGTCGACAGCAAACATCAGCGGTAAATGGAATTCACTGCATTAGTATATTCGAATCAATACCATCAACACCAGCCCTATTTTCTTCTCACTATCCTTGTGGTGCTTCCCGCGCGGTCCGGAGTCCGGAATCCGGATACCGGAGGCGCTTTTTTAATCCCTTTTTGATTAATTGTTTATTTAAAAAAAAAAAATCTCAGAAACTTATCCGTAATTTCAATTTATCTCACATATTAAAACCAGTTTTAATCTTTGTTTCTTTAGAGAAAAATTGTTTTTTTCCCTATTTTTTTTTTTGAGTCTCACCCTCTCCCTCTCACTGCGAGTGCAAGACGAGGAAACATGCGGACCATGACAAATCCTGGTGAATCAAATAATCTCGATGAAAAAAGTTATATTTTAGAAGCCAAGAAAAATTTCGAGGATGTAAGTCAATTGAAATTATTTATTATATTCTAGTGGAAAAATTAATTTAAATTATTCTATTGTATTCTGTTTATTATTGCAACAAAACTGGAAAATTTGCAGAAAACAATAAATTCAAACGTCCCGCGATATTTTTTTATTTGACGCAAATAGCAAATGTTTTGCATGAAAATTCTTTAATAGAGAAAAAAAAACATTTTTTTACAAGAAAAATTATATTTTTACAAGAAAAATTATATTTTTTCAAGAAAAATATTATTGAAAATAGTTTTGTTTATTTAATGAAATATAATGAAAAAATATTTTTTCACAAAATAAAAAATTGTGAAAGAAGAAAAAATTGAGAAACATGAAAATAATTAATTTCTTGTTTGGAATTAAAATTCAATTGAATTTAAAAATTTAATTTTCATAGGTTTTAATTTAATGCAACGATAATTTGACATCTTTACATAAATATTAATTTTAATAATTTTAATTTAATATAAAATTTAATAATTAGTTTTTTATTATTAATTTAAAAAAATAATAAATATTAATAAAGAAACTATTAATATTTAGTTATTTATAAATAACGTGAGAATATTAATAAATATTAATTTAATAAAGTGAAAATAAATTAATATAATAAATTAATATTAATACATAATATTAATTATAGAATTAATAGCAATATTATTAGGCTAATAATTAATATTATTAAATTAACACTATAATTAGTTTTACTTTGATAAACAAAGAAAAATAATTATTTTTTAATTTTGGTTATTTTTGCGAAAAAAGTGTAAGAAAAATTATTTATAAAATTCAATTTTGTCGAGAATTTAGTTTAAATGGTTTAAATTAAAGCAATTAAATTTTGACAGTGAAATAAATTAAAAGTGATGATATATTGAGTAAAATATCATATCTTCGAAATATGTAATACTATTTTATGCACAAAATTTAATTAAATTCTTATCGATAGGAAATTACTTGGCAGGATTAATTTATTTCCATTGAATAATAAATTGTGTTTAAATGTCAGAACGTCGAAAGAAAATTACTAATTGCAAAAATTGGGAGAAATATAAAATATTTACTAAAAAAAAAAGAAATAAAATATTTATTAACTGAAAAATAAAAAATGTACTAAAATTAAAAACATAAAAGAGATAAAATACACAATTGAATAAAATAGAGAAAATAAATTATTTACTAATAGAAAAAAATAAGAAATAAAATATTTACTAAAAATAAGAAATAAAATGTTTACTAATTGAAAAAAATAGAAGAAATAAAATATTTACTAATATTGAAAAAAAGAAGAAATAAAATATTTCCACTGGAAAAAATAAGAAATAAAATATTATTTTTAACTGAACAATAAATGTTTACTAATTTAATATCTCAAATAAATCATCAAAATGTGCAAATGAAATTCTGTTTTAATCCCATATAGATTTCAGATTTGAATAATTCATAAAGAATATATTTTTTTCACTTCGTCTCGTATGATTAATATACAATCTCGTTATATTCAGTTTTAATAATTCGAACCGACATTCGTTGATTACAAAGAGATATTCATTTTAATTGAATGATTGTTTTTTTCAAAAAAAAAAGGAAAAAAAAAATATTAGAATCGTATGCGACATTTTTCTTCTGACCCACTTTTTGAAAAATTGAAATATGCATATTTTATTTTTATTCCCTTTTATATTTTTCATAATAATATGTGCAAAGAAATATTTTTAAATAATAAGAAATATTTTATTTTTTAAATAATATATTTTTTTCAAAAAGTAAATAAAATAAGGAGAAAATTAAATATTTAATTTATTATAATAATGTCGTTGTAAATGAAAAATGGGGATAAAGAACATATGAATTAAACATTTCGAAGGAATTGTTTCACTATTTCTTATGCATAATTTTAATTTAAACACCACTTCTTTGCAACTTTCCGCAAGAAATTTAATATATCTTCTTGGCGATTTAAATTACTTGAAAAATTTTCGTTGGAAAATTTTACAGTTTGCATTAATATAATATTTATCTTAATATTTATAGTTAATGTATAATAATTACAAAAAAATCATATACTATATTAATTAATAATTATTATAAAAAATTAATCCTATATTTACATTAGTAATAAATATGAAAATTAATATTTATTTATATTAAATCTACTTAGAATAGAATTTATTTTTTATTCTATTATATTTATATTAATTTGTTGTATTAATTTTTTATTATATTATTATTTATTTTATTTATTTTATATTAATTAATTTATGTTTTTTGAAATTTAAATTAAAATGTTTATACTAAATTGAATTTTAAATATAAAAAAATCCCAAAGGATTAAAAATTTGATATTGTCTAAAAATTATTGCAACTAAAATAATGCGCATTTTTTTAAAGAATAAAATACCTGATTTAAATATAATAATGTTATTTTTTTCGTTGAATAAAGGGAAACTTGTATTTTTATAACATGTATATTGTTGATGTCATAATGATACTCCTGCACAACAGCTGTCATCCAGTAGAATCAAATTACATCCCGCAATGGGTATTTTCCAAGCACAAAAGAGATTCACACGTGATTAAAAATTTTTTAATTTCAAAAATAATATATAATTTTCAATTTTTGTTCTAAAACTCAAGCTTCCATAGAAATTTGAAACTTGTTAATTTCATTCTATAGTATTATATAATATTTGAAAAAATAGTTTTTTATTTATTAATTCTGCACTAAATTATTTTTTTTCATCTGAAAAAAATATTTTCTTTGATTTAAATAATTGATTACTTGTCTATTATATACTTGAGTCAAATAATTTTTACTTGACTCAGAATAATATTTACTTGAATCAAAGAATTTTCATTTGCCTCAAAATAATATTTACTTGAATCAAAAAATTTTTACTTGAATAAAAATAATGTTTACTTGAAGCAAAGAATTTTTACTTGACTCAAAATAATATTTACTTGAATTAAAGAATTTTTACTTGAATCTGGAAATCTTTACTTGACTCAAAATGATATTTACTTGAACCAAAGAATTTTTACTTCACTCAAAATAATATTTACTTGCATCAAAAAATTTTTACGTGAATCAAAATAATATTTAGGTACTTAAACCAAAAAAATATTTACTTGACTCAAAATAATATTTATTTGAATCAAAGACTTTTTACTTGGCTCAAAATAATATTTTCATGAATCAAAGAATTATTATTTGATTTAAAATAATATTTACTTGAATCAATGAATTTTTACTTGATTTAAAATAATATTTACTTGAATTAAAGAATTTTTACTTGAATCAAAAAATTTTTACTTGACTCAAAATAATATTTACTTTTGCATCAAAGAATTTCTACTTAACTCAAAATAATATTTACTTGAAAAATTTACTTTAAGATACTTTAAAAATTTGTTTATAAATATTATAATGAAAGGAAAAACTATTTCAAATATTTATTTGACTCAAAATGATATTTAATTGAATCAAAGAATTTTTACTTGGCTCAAAATAATATTTTCTTGAATTAAAGAATTTTTACTTGACTTAAAATATTATTTACTTCAATCAAAGAATTTTTACTTATGAATCTGAGAATCTTTACTTGACTCAAAATAATTTTTACTTGACTCAAAATAATATTTACTTGAATCAAAGAATTTTTACTTGACTCAAAATAATATTTACTTGCATCAAAAAATTTTTTCTTGATTTAAAATAATATTTACTTGACTCAAATTAATATTTACATGAATCAAAGAATTTCTACTTAACTCAAAATAATATTTACTTGAAAAATTTACTTTAAGATACTTTAAAAATTTCTTTATAAATATTATAATGGAAGGAAAAACTATTTCAAATATTTACTTGACTCAAAATGATATTTACTTCAATCAAAGAATTTTTACTTGAATCTGAGAATCTTTACTTGACTCAAAATAATATTTATTTCACTCAAAATGATATTTACTTGAATCAAAAAATTTTTACTTGATTTAAAATAATATTTACTTCAATCAAAGAATTTTTACTTGGCTCAAAATAACATTTTCCTGAATCAAAGAATTTTTACTTAATTTAAAATAATATTTACTTGAATCAAAGAATTTTTACTTGACTCAAAATATTATTTACTTGAATCAAAAATTTTTACGTGATTCAAAATAATATTTACTTAAACCAAAATAATATTTACTTGACTTAAAATAATATTTACTTGAATCAAAGAATTTTTACATGACTCAAATAATTCTTACTTAACTCAAATAATTTTTTACTTCAATCAAACAATACTTATAATGCAGTAAATATTTCACTTGAATATTATTTCTTACAAATAAATATTTAGTTGATAATAGACAAGTAATTGTTTATTTGAATGAAATAAATTTTTTTATACATGCGCCCTTATAAATAAAATAATTATATTAATTTTTTTTGAATAATATAGTAAATAATTGTTATAATAAATAAACAATTATTAAAATTAATTTTTTTTTAAACTAATAAAAGCCGGAAGAAATAAATTAAATTTTAAATTATCATCAAACAACTCGCGCAAAGGGAAGTAAAACACTTTTCTTTTATATAATCAAATTGAAATTGTTTTGATAAAGAAAATTCTTCTTTGTCATAATTAGAGCTGAGGGACATTATTTGCGTTTATATTTAAAAGTTAATTTGGACCAACGGTACTTGAACTCCCACGCCATTTGAGAAAGCATTCTCTTTGCCTTTTACGTTCAAGACTAGAAGGCAAGTAGGTGTTCATACCGTTCGCAGTTTGTTTAAAAAGAAGCCAAGAGTTGGCTGTGTGTTAAAAAAAAAGTTTATTTTCTCTCTCTCTCTCTCTCTCTCTCTCTTTCTATTGTTATTTTTTTTTATATATATATTTCACTGTGAAAATTATACAAAAGTATTTTCAGACGTGTTCCCTTTAACTCGTCACATTTGTAAACAAGTTTAAATTAACAAACTTTGCAGTGTGTATATTATGAAACATTGTATTATTTAAGTGCACGCGATTATTTTCATTTCATTAAGTATGCAAATTTTTTTTTTTTTGTGTTCAAACTTTAAAAAGATAATGAAAACATAATTTATTATCTAATTATCTTCAGTGAAGGAAAGAGTATACGTGCGTTTATTTGTCAGTGTTACTTTTTTGTTTTTCATTTTATTTTTTTAACGAGTAGGTATTTTAATTATTTTTCTTTTTATTTAATTATACACAAACAAATTTATTTAATTTATTTTAATTATTATTTATTTTTAATTAATTCAATCTTAAAACGTTGAAAAAAATTTATTCGATTCAAATAACCGATTATTTTACTTTCCATTAAATATTTACTTGAATCAAATAATTTTTATTTGAGTCAATTAAATGGTTCAATTCATATTACTGAAAATCATTTATATTGATTTTATTTTTTTATTGGTTCGAATACAATTTATTTCACATACAATTTGATTTAATAATTTTTATACAAAAAATAATTTGATTTTAAAATATTTATTTGATAATTAATAGTTTTAAATATTTTATTTATTTATTTATATTTTTTTTAAATATTCAAATAACATAATATAATTATAAATAATTATTATCTATTGTATTTTGACTTGAACAAAATTAGATTACTTTTTTTTGTGAGAGAAGCCGCAAGAATACATTTTTGAACTTGGAATATCTTTTTCCCTAATTGTTTGCAATAAAAAAAAATACACGTTTTTAAAATAATTTTTCTCCTCCGGTGTGCCTCGACTTTAATTAGATTAGTTTCCGCGTTTGAATTTTTTTTAGAAATACGGTGCGAGGTCACAAGTTTGCTTTCATTTTACTACTCGTAACGTAAACTTTCACGAGTTATTTTATTGCTTTTGTAAATTTACTTTCCTTTCATATTATATTAAATGCAGAGGTCCATCAAATCAGTAATTTTATTAAATTGTGGTATTTTTTTTTAATTTTTATAAATACTAGAATTGCGTGTCTAAATTTTCTCTTATACGTCATATTTATTATTTTTTTTTCGTAAGCAAATAAATAAAAATAAATATTTTCAAATTTTTTTGAATTAAAAAAATGACACGAAATTCCAAAAATGTTTTGTATAATATTTTTTTTCGGGAAAAATTGTCTTAATATTGACGGAGCAAGTTTCGCAATAATAGTAGGGTGTAATATTGAGATAATAAATTTCAAAGGATCAAAATTGTACAATAAAAAAAATATTTCAAATATTGTCGAGCGTTATTAAAAAATTACGCAATATTCCGGTCATAAAAGTATTTTTAACTATTTTTATGAGATTTATTAAATAATAATTAAAATTGTATTACAATTAAAATTTTATACAACAAGTAAAATTGTATAATAATTAAAATTCGATAATAATTACAATTCTATAACAATTAAAATTGTATAATAATTAAAATTCGATAACGATTGAAATTCGATAATAATTACAATTCTATAACAATTAAAATTCGATAACAATAAAAATTCTACAATAATTAAAATTGTATAATAGGAATTAAAATTCGATAACGATTGAAATTCGATAATAATTAAAATTCTATAAGAATTAAAATTGCAAAATAATTAAAATTCTGTAACAATTAAAATTGTATAACAATAAAAATTCGACAGCAATAAAAATTGTATAATAATTAAAATTCTATAAGAATTAGAACTCTATAAGAATTAAAATTGTATAATAATTAAAAATCGATAACGATTGAAATTCGATAATAATTAAAATTCTATAACAATTAAAATTGTAAAATAATTAAAATTCTATAACAATTAGAATTCTATAAGAATTAAAATGGTATAATAATTAAAATTCGAAAACGATTGAAATTCAATGACAATTGAAATTCGATAACAATTAAAATTTTATAACAATTAAAATTCGATAGCAATAAAAATTGTATAATAATTAAAATTCTATAGTAAAAATCTATAATAATTAGAATTCTATAAGAATTAAAATTCTTTAATAATTAAAATTCTATAATTAAAATCGTACAATTAAATTTCTATGATGGAAGTTGAATAATTGAAATTAAATAATTGAAATTGAATAATTGAGATTAAATAATTGAGATTGTATAATTACAATTTTATAATTATATAAAAAATTCTATAATTAAAATTGTGTAATTTTAATTAGATAATTGAGATTGTATAATTATAATTGTTCAATTAAGATTCTGAAATTAAAATTCTATAATTAAAATCGTACAATTAGAATTGTATAACAATTATTTTTTTTCCTTTAATAATTCTCTGCCTCTATATAGTTTTGCGCAAAATTCAGCGCATCATTAAACAAAAATATGATTATAAATTAGAAGTGATTGAATAAACTGAGCGCACGGTGTAATTCCAGAACATAATCAACACATAACGGAATAATTCTATTAACTTTGGTTTTATCAAGAAATGCGGAAACTTTCCTGCGAACGATAAGACACCTAATTATAATACATTCAATAATTGCGCGGAATATAAAAAGCAGAATAAAAAAAAAAAATTAAAAGTGTAGAGACGAATTTATTTATTAAATGATTAATTAATGAAAAACAAGAAAGAAGACGGAAAAGATTGATTAATGAATGGAATTAATGAACCGAAATTGTACATAATTATACGTATAAAATAGATAATAATTATCAGAGTTGTTGTACATTTCCAACATTATGTTGATTTTTTAATTCTTCGACTGGTTTAATTAGTTTCACATTTATGATAAGAAAGTAAATTTTCTTTTTTATTTCTTATTCATTTTTTTATTTATACTTCATTTTTTCTAATTATTTAAAATTTTCAAAATTATTTTAAAATTAGGTACTCAATAATTAATTTAATTTTCTTTTTCTTTTTTGTTTATAAAAATTTTTATTTTAGTTTTTTTTTTAGTTTTTTTTTAAATTTTAGTTTAAAAAAATTTATAAATAAAATAAATAAAATTATTCATTTAAAACAGTATTTTTCAAATTAAAATATATTTGTTTACTATTTATTAGCAAACTTAGTGTTCGATTTACGTTATCGTAATTGTTTTTAGAACTTAGTGTAATTCCTAACTTCACCTTCAACTTTAGACAATATTTAAATATTTTTCGTATTCATTTAAAAAAAAAAAAAATCGACTCCAAACAGTAGAACATATTGTAACGTAGCTTGACAATTTTTTAAAATTCTATTTTGTTGCTATATTTTTTAATTTATAAATTTGTAAAGTTATTAACTTCTATTAATTTATAAATTTCGTAATTATTTTTTATAATTTCAATTTTATAATTTTTTGGCAAATATATAACTTTTTTGACAAAAAATTATAATTGTATAATTATAATATTAAAAACATTATTACTGGATAATTATTATAATTTTTATACATAAATTGTATTATAAAAATTTATAAAAATTAAATTTTATTTTTATTTTATAAAAATAAAATTTTATTTTTTTTATAAAAATTAAATTTTATTTTTACTTTATAAAAATTATAATTTTTATATTTTTCCTTGACTTTTTAAAGTTTAAAATAAAATAGAAAATTTGCATAAAATTAGTGAATCTAGTGTGTATTTAGTTTTGATATTCGACAGGGAGGAAGCCTCAACTCGGAAGATTCCTATGACGACATGAGACGTCTAGTTAGGGTAAGATTAATTGTTTAGCATATCGCAGACAGTGTGGCTTTTAGTTCGTAAATATTTATTGTTTGAAGCGATATATAGTTGTTGCATGGAACATTTTATTTTTCTATTTAAAAAAAAAAACAATTCGTATCTGTTACTGCTTTATGTAATAAATTTTTTTCTCATTTATTCTACTTTATCTATATAGTTATAAAACGTAATAATTTAGTGAATTTATAGACATTATAAAAAAAAAGATTAATTTGAAACCAAATTAAAAAAATCTATATCAAACAGTAAATAATATTTATAAAATATTTACAAAATAAATTGAAATTAATTAAATTAAAAAACTTCTTAAATTTGAATTAGTAAAAATATTTACTAATTGGCTTTTTGCTTTTGAATTAGTAAATTTTACTAATAAATACTAATTTCAATTTTCAAATCCATTTGTTTACAATATTCAATTTCACGAAATTTCAATTATTTGTAAATTCTTCAATTAAATAAATATTAGAAAATAAAAACTTCAAATAATATTTAAAAAATTCAGTGAATCTTTTTCAAAAAAAATTAATTTCAAAATTCAATTATTATTGTTAAAAATTTACGCTATATTGCTTTTATAATATTCAATTATTATCTAAAATTTTAACTGGAAATTAATTTTTAAATCAATTTTTATTAGAAAATTCGACTAGAATTATTTAAATTAATAATTAATTAATATTTTCAATTATTTAAATACAAAAATAAATAATTTATTGAATAATTGAATGTTTCTTAAAATTCAATTCCCATAAAGAATCTTTATCAACAAATTTTCAAATAATTGAATTCTATCAACGAATTTTATTAAAATTTTTAAAAATAATTACATTTTTCGAGAAATTTAATTAAAAACAATTGAAATTCTGCAATGAGTTTTATTATTTATGAAAATAATTGAATGATTGCGAAGAAATTTATAAAAAAAAAAATTGTAAATAATGAAATTCCTGTGAAATTTTTACTATTTTTTGAAAATAATTAAAAGTTTGTGTAGAATTTTATTAAATTTTTTTTTAAATAATTGAATTCTTTAGAAAAATTTTATGATAATAGTAGATATTGAAAATCATTGAATTGAGGAAAATTTTTGAAAATAATTGAATTTCGAAGGAAGAATTTAATTATTTCTAAAAATAATTGAAATTTTGATAAGAATTTAAAAAAGTTTTTGAACTATGTTCAAAATTCAATTATAATTGAATTTCTGCGAAGAATTATTATTATTACTTTTAAAAATAATTGAATTTCTGCAATCCTTTTTGAATCAAATTACGGACCTTTTTTTAAAAAAAACGGACTTTTAGGGACTTTTACGTAATTTACGGATCTAGTTCTGCAATTAGTAAATATTTTTACTAATTAAAATTTAGAAAGAAATTGAAATAAGCTAATTAAAATTAATTAATTAAATTGAATTTATTTAAACAAATTCAAAATGAGTAATTTCAATTAATTAATAAAATTTATTTAATTGAAACTAATTAATTAAAATCAATTGAAATTAATGAAATTAAATAAATAGAAATGAATGAAACGAAATTAATTTAATTACTTTATAAAAGTTGTTCGCTAACAAACCATTATAATTTGCATCTTGTTTTATAAATAAATGAAAATTCATAATCCACCCGTAAATATAACTTTTGAAAACATTACATTAAAAACTATAATCAGGGCATGAAAATTAAATATTCAAATAACTTAATAGCGCGATTGAATTGTTTTCCCTTGTCCTTGGGAAAAACAAAATGTTTTGCTGTCATCAAAAAAGTTTTGAAATTTTATTATAATGAACTAAATAATGCGTTTCAAGGAAAATTATTATCAATATACAGAGCATCAAAAAGTGAATTTAATTCCTGAAAATTCATAACTTTATTTCGAAAATTGTTTTTTATCGAAAAATCAAAAAAGAAAAATACTTATAAGCATATATAAAAAAATCAATAAAAATATATAGAAAACTACATAATCTAAAAATAGATTTTTAGTCTCTGCGCAAATGGTTTAAGTGTTTTTTTTGTCGTTGCAAAAACAAAAAAAAATTACTTTAGAGAGAGAGTTTCTTATTTTTGTATTTGTGTAACAAACATCAATAAACTAAATAATTCTATATCGGAAAATGAAGATATATAGGATTTAAAGCGCTTACGATGTACTTTATCCTTCTATACTTTCATGGACTTATTTTCAGTCGCACTTCGAATCGACATTTAAATAAAAAAAAAAAAAAAAAAGAAAAATTGGTATTTTCCTTGTATTTTAAATTTTATTTGTTTATTTCGCTTGTAGCGATTGGCAAAAAAAGGAAGTTTTTAAAAAAAAGTCTTCTTTAATTATTCCCCCAAGGATATGCTCTGGGGATATTATATAGCTTACAACTTCTAGTGCTTAGCTAATATCTTGATTAAGTCTCTTTGAGCTCAAAATTGATCACGTGGAATAAGTTTTTTTTTTTTTGTCGTCAGAAATGTGAAATTTGATAATTAGTCGCTGAAAATTTATCATGTTGATAATTAAAATTAAAAAAATTATAAATATAATAATTAATTAAAATTACTTGAACAAAATTAAAATATTATAATAGTAGCAGTATATTTATATTTATATAATATTGTATAATATTATAATAATAACTGAAAAAGCCATAAGTTTCTCTAAAAAAAATTTATTTGATTAAAATAACCGATTAGTTGACTATTATCAATTAAATATTTAATTGAATCAAATATTAATTTATTGGAGTCAATTGAATGGTTTAGTTCATATTTGCTTCAAATACTGAAATTATTGGTTCAAATACCATTTAATTGACTCCAATAAATATTATTTGATTCAAGGAAATATTTAATTGATAATAGTCAATTATTCGGTTATTTGAATCAAATAAATTTTTTTTTCAGTGTAAGTTAGCGAAAATTTAAATGGAAACAACCAAAAATATTTCGCTAATACAGTGAAATTTGTATAAATAATTTTTTAAAATTATAAATACTATAATTTTAATATTTTAATTTTAATATTTCATTTTAATATTTTAATTCTAATATTTCATTTTAATATATTTAACTTTAATATTTTGTTCATTTATTAATAGTTTATTTTTATCTTCTGGCCTTGAATGTGCTTCCGACGAATTCTTATAATTAAAATTTTCATTACCTAACTGCAGTGGAATGTTATTAATAATCAATTTACCAATGAATTAAATTATGCAATTCTCTAAAGAAGAACTTTTTTAAAAAATTTCTATTAAGTTATAGAGGAAGATTTTTTATAACAATTTTATATTCTTACAGTTTGAAACTTAAATATAAAAGAAATTATTAATTTTTTCTTATATAAATTTTGTTCTAATTTTGAAAGAAAAATAAAATTATATAATAAGCTTTAATTATATTTAATATAATTTAATATTTATTATATTTAATACGCAAAAATTAATTTTTTATAAAAATTCCAAAATTCAATTTACTGTTTCATATTATATCATTATTGATTGGATATGAATTTATTTTCTCTTTTCAGGAAAATGAAGAAGAAGATAAAGACAAATTTACCAGTTTACCACTGGCCAGCTTTAACTTCATTAATTCCATTATTGGAAGTGGTGTCATTGGTGAGTAAATTGGTGATTAAAAATTCCCTTTTTGATAATTTCTCATTTACAAACGGAAAACTAACGCAAGAATTTAATAATTTGCGTCTGCTACTAGAAATTTCTGTTTTTCTTCTTATAAATAAATAAGTGTGGAATTCAAAATAAGTCTTCTTTGGGTGAAATAGACTTTCGCTACGAAATAGAATTTCACCACTTTTTGCAGCGAATTTAATGAAAAATTAAATTTGAAACTTTTTGTCTGACTGTAATTTTCTTATACTACTGAATTTGAAGAAAAATTTTGTCTTATTAAAACTAATTTTAAAATTATATATTATATTATTATATTTAACTATTTTTTAATGAAAAATTGAATTTGAAACTTTGTGTCTGACTATAATTTTCTTATACTACTGAATTGGAAGAAAATTTTTGTCTTATTAAAACTAATTTTAAAATGATACATTATATTATTATATTAAACTATTTTTTAATGAAAAATTAAATTGAAACTTTTTGTCTGACTATAATTTTCTTATACTACTGATTTAAAAGAAAAATTTTGTCTTATTAAAACTGGCTCTTACTATTGCTGGTATGACTAATACACGTGACATAATCTTGGCTGACCTCAACTTTGTCTATTAATCGTTAGGTCACACGAATCGAAAGACTTTTGTCTGACTAAAATCAGTTTTTACTACTTAATTAAGAAAGTAATTTTTCTTTTTTTCTAGGATTTTAAATATTTTTCGGATTGAAACGATCATTTACTATAATAATAATCAACAATTCTGCTGAAATTAAGAAATACTTTGTCTGACTAAAACGACTCTTTACTACTTAATAACTGAAAGTGCGATTTAAAAAATGATTGTCTGGCTAAAACGAAATTTTACTACTTAATAAATATGTATGGAAACTGATGAACCCTTTGGCTGACTAAAGCGATCCTTTTCTACTTAGTTTCTATAGTAATGATTTCAAAAAAACATTTATCTGACTATAATGACATTTTACTACTTATTAAATGATTTAAAAAATTGAGAAACCCTTCGGCTGACTAAAACGACTCTATACTACTTAATTACTAATATAGGAATTTTTTAAAAAACGATTGTCTGACTATAACGGAAGTTTACTACTTATTAAATATTTATGGAAACTGATAAACCCTTTGGCTAACTAAACTATCCTTTACTACTTATTTACACTGTAATAAAGATTTTTAAAATATCCTTTGTCCAACTAAAACGGCCCTTTTGCTACTAACTTCACAGTTTTCTTGAAAATACTTTCGTAAGTGAATCTTATTGATAGAGTTTAAAAAACATTTGTCCGGCTAAAACAGACTTTTACTACTTATTAACTATTTACAGAAAGAAAGATAATTTTTGGCTATTATTAAATACTTACAGAAATTAGGAAACCCTTTCGCTGACTAAAACGATCCTACTCTACTTAATTTCAATAGTAATGATTTCAAAAAAAAATTTGTCCGAATAAAACAGACTTTTACTACTTTGTAATTACTAATAGAAATTAAAGAAAGCTTTGGCTCACCAAAACGACCCTCTACTACGTAATCACTATATTAATGAGTTTAATAAAACATTCGTCTGACTAAAACAACCTTTTTCTACTTAGTAAATTTTTGTAGAAACTGGAAAATCTTTGTCTGGCTGAACATAGTTTTAACGATTCAAAATAAATTGTTTGTCTGACTAGAACGAGCCTTTACTACTTACTCAGTAATAATAATGACTTTAAAAGACACTTGTCTGACTAGAACGAACTTTTACTACTTATTAAATGCTTCCAAAAACTATGAAACCCTTTGGCTGACTAAAAGTTCCTTTACTACTTAATTACATATAATGATAATGATTACAAGGCTCGGATCGACTTTAAGACCTAAAAAAAATTTTTTTATGGCAAAATATTAATGGGGTATTATTAGAATTGAGTGTAGAATTTAACAAAATTTTTTTATAAAAATTATTTTATTTTTTGTTTTTTATTTGCAAAGAGACACAAAAATAATTATTTCTTTCGTTTTTTTTTAACATCTTTGTCAATATAAGTAAAAATACTAGTTTTTTTTATATACGATGAGAGACACAAAAATAATTTTTAATCGTAATAATTATTTTTTAACGCAAAAAAAATACTTAAAAGAATCAAATAATCGCCGTTGTGATTATTATTTATTTGAAAATTCATTTTTTAATATTATTATTTTTTTATTATTTAAAAAAAAATGTTAATAAAATTGTACATAAACATTTAATTATTTCCATGAATAATAAAAATTTCACAGGAATTCAATTATTTACAAATTTTTTAAAAAATTTCTTCGCAATAATTTCATTATTATTTTCATAAATAATAAAAATTTCACAGGAATTCAATTATTTTTATAAAAAATTATTAAAAATTCTAGAAAATAATAATTGAATTGAAAAGAAATTATCTTTAATTATTATAAAACATGAAGATATCGATTGCTGAGCGATTTCTTCATGTTTTATAACAATTTTTTTTATAATTTTTATAATTTCAAAAAGTTTGAATTTGAATCTTTTGAAGAATTTTAATTCCTATGGAAAAATAATAATAATTTAATATATTTATTTAAAAAAGAAGTTATATTCATGTTTTCGAATAATTTAAAAGAAATTCGTTAATAAAATGTAACAGAACATTTTTTTTGAGTACATTTTTTTCCTTTATCTTCTAAGAATTTTAAAAGTTTCAATTTAATTTTCAATTGTAATTATAGTAATTGACAAAAAGAATTTAAAAACATTTTTTTCCTTTATTTTTAAAACACTATGAATTTTATTAAAGCAATAAATTGTAATTAAGAAATAGAAATGATGCAAATTATTTCTTAAAATAAAAATTGAGAATTTTCTACAAAAATATTAAGAAACGGGAATATCCAATGTTTTTCTTCCCAAAAGAAAAAAATGAGTTTGTAAACAATATTGTTCTTGAGAAATAAAAATTATGAATGGAATTTGTATATTTTCTATTTTTTTAATCATAATTTTTGTAAACAGTTAACAATTTGATTTAATATTTTTATAAATAAAAAGGAGAAAAATTTACATAATTTAACTCAGTCAAAAGAAAATTGTTATAGAAAAAAAAATGATCTTACAAGTGTATAATAAAGAAAATGTATTTGTTAATCATAATATTTTTAAATTTTCCAATTTTCTAATTTCAAATATTATTTTATTAAAAATCATGAAAAAATACAAAAGCATAGACAAAAACTAACTTCAAAGTGTGGACAGACAGAATTAATGAAAGAATGTAATACGAAAATTATTATTTAGTAGATAATAGATAATAAACAATAGATAATAAATAATAGATAATACATAATAAATAATAGATAATAGATAATAGATAATAGATAATAGATAATAGATAATAAAAAATAGATAATAGATAATAAATAATAGATAATAAAAAATAGATAATAAATAATAGATAATAAGTAATAGATAATTTACAAAAAAATATTTCTGCTATTTAAAATTTAAGTAAAAAAGTAATTGAAAAATGTGAAAAAAGTCGATTAGTCGCATTTTTTCACAAAAAAGTCGAAAAAAGTCGAAAGTCTCATAATCCGAGCCCTGTATTAAGAAATCCTCTGTCTGACTAAAACGACCCTTTACTACTTATTAGATACTTTTAAAAATTAATTTATCCTCTGGCTGACCAAAACGACTGTTTACTACTTAATTCCTAAAAAATGATTTTAAAAAACCTCCGTCTGACCAGAATGTCTCTTTACTACTTATTTCATAACTATATTGCATTTCAGATATTCTTATAGTTATTCTTCCAAAAATAATTTTTAAATGACTATGATTTTATTCAAAAATTATATTAATTATAAAATTGAAGATAAATTTGCAAACTGGACTCGAAAATTTGTTAAATTAAAAATTAATACGCCTCTGATTAATTTCAGGAATACCCTATGCGCTACATCAAGCTGGATTTGGTTTAGGAATGATATTATTGATAGTAGTTGCTGCACTCACAGATTACTCATTAATTTTGATGGTCAGGAGTGGACATCTTTGTGGGGAAATGAGTTATCAGGGTTTAATGAGGGCGAGCTTTGGCCGCCCTGGTTTCTACATTCTCACAGTACTTCAGTTCATTTATCCTTTTATAGGTACCTTTTTCACTATTTTCACTATTTTCACTATTTTTACTATTTTTACTATTTTATTTATTTATTTTAAAACTTCTTTTGTATACTCTTTTTTTCGTATTAAAAATACGTTATACTATAATTATATTATAATATTACAGTTTCTTTATTTATTTCCTAAAATATTTACTGAGAAAAAATTATACTCGTTTCAAGTAAAAAATAATTTTAAGTGATTTTGTTTCATTGAAATTAGTTTGCAAACTTAATCCCAATATATAGAAAATATTTACTGCTTCGATTGAAAAATATAATTTGTTCGAATATTTATATTTAATTCAAAACATATTTTGAGTTTTGATTTTAAAAAAAATTAAAAATTTTTATTTTAAAAATTTTTAGTTTTAAAAACTTTATGCTTGATTCAAACTTAAAAGTTTATAAACAATTTAAAATCAACCATAAATTATGTTTGAATTAAATATAATATTTCTGTAAATGAACCAAAAAAAATTGGTTTGAATTAAACTTAAATTTTGTTTTACTGTATAGCAAAGATATTTTAAGTTTGATTTAAACAAAATTTGTTTGAATAAAAAAAATTCATTTTCTCAGTGTTAATTAATTATAGTTCCTTAAATAGTATTTATTTAAATTAAATACTAATTATTTATTATTATTTCTATGTTGCAGCGATGGTTTCCTACAATGTAGTCGTTGGCGACACGGTGACAAAGGTTTTAATCAGAGTGACTGGCATTGATGATTCCAGTTTCCTTTGGTTTCTAGTGAAACGAGAAATGGTGATATTTTTGTCGACTATTCTCATTACGGTTCCATTATGCCTTTACAAAAATGTCGCCCGTCTCGCAAAGATCTCATTTCTCTCTCTAGTCTGCGTAGGATTTATTCTTTTAGCAATTTTCATTCGAATGGACACAATGTCGTCTCTGGTGTAAGTTTTTCGTACAATTTATTATAATCGCAATTAAATTATAATTTTTCAATTAAAAATTTATATATATGCGAAGCAGCAAAATTCAATTTTTTTTTTCTAACAAAAAGAAAACTTTTACGATACAAAGGAAATGGGATTTAAGAAATAATCCCTGAACTCTGAGTCTGACTAAAACCATCTTCTCATTAAATAAATTTAAAAAACTCATTACATAAATTTGGACAGAAGGGAGAAATAAAAATTTCTTCTGACTGACAAACACTTTTTTTTACAATCACGAAAAATAACTGAACTTTGTGTCTCACCAAAAGTGTCTAGCACTACTCATTAAAAAAATTACCAATGCTTAGAAAAATTACTACATATTAAAAAAACTACCACTGATTAAAAAAATTCTTGGAATTAAAAAATTATTATAACTAGTAATTGAAAAAATTGCTACTTAAAATTAAAAATCGCCTTCTTCATGTTTTGTAATGATTTAAATTACCATAAAATATTTCAAAAAAAGTTAATTATTTACAAAAATCCTAATAAAATCCTTCGCAAGAATTCAATTATTTAAAAAAATGTAATAAAATTTCTCAAAAAAATTCAATTATTTAATAAAATGAAATAAAATTTCTCAAAAAAAAATTAAATTATTTTAAAAAATGTTATAAAAATTTCTCAAAAAAATTCAATTATTTAAAAAAAATGTAATAAAATTCGTTGCTAGAATTCAATTATTTTTATAAATAACAAATTCATAAATTATAGAGGAATTCAATTATTTAAATTTAAAAATAAATAATTTATTGAAATATTGAATAATTGAATGTTTGTTAAAATTAAATTCTCATAAAGAATTTTATCAACAAATTTTTAAATAATTAAATTCCTTGGACGAATTTTAATAAAATTTATAAGAATAATTTAATTTTCAGAGAAATAATTGAAATTTTGACAGGATTTTTTTTTTTGTTATTTTTGAACATAATTGAATTCTTGCGACGAATTTTATAAAAATCTTTTCAAATAATTGATATTTTTCGAAAAATTTTATGAAATTTTGTAAGTACTTTAAATAATAATTGAATTTCTGTAAAAAATTTTAATTACTCATAAAAATAATTGAATTATTTCGAAGAAATTTTATTAAAAATTTTGTAAATAATTGAATTCCTGTGAAATTTTGCCAAGAATTTTATTAAAAAAATTTAATTTTTAGTATTTTTAAATAAAATTCTTCTATTAATCTAGTATTTATGAAAATTGTAAAAATTATTTATTAAATAATTTAAAAGTAATAATTTTATGATAGTTCTTGAAAAAGAAATTATTGTCAGAAATAGAAAAAAATTAAAGGTTTTGTATTAAAATTCGTGGTAATTTTTTAGATTACGAGGCAAACCAAAAAAAAAAAAAAAAAAAACATCAAAATTCAGAGTTTTCTCATGAATTTTAAAAATACAATTTTTTCCAGTACTTTTACTGAAAATCCCTGACTTTTCCCTGAATTCTCTGACCTGTGGCAACCCTGCACTAATAATTTAAAAAATTGCAATTAATAATTAAAAAAATTTCTTTCCACTGAATAAATGTCAAGAAAAATGAAAATTAATAGTAAAAAAATTACTGCCACTGATTAAAAAAAAATTTCTATCGATAATTAAAAAATTTCCACTTAAAATTAAAAGAATTACAATTAATAATTAAAAAATTTTTTTTCCACTAAATAATCGTCTATTAACTACTCATTAGAAAAATTACGATTCTTCAAAAAATTAATGCTACTAATTAAAAAATTACTAGTAATAATTAAAAAAAAATGATGATTAGTAATTAAAAAAATTTCTTTCCACTGAATAATCGGCGAGAAAAATGAAGATTTTTCAGTTGAAAAAAAGTCTCTGAACTTTATGTCTGACTAAAAGCGTCTATAGCTACTCATTAAAAAAATGCCACTATACTAATTAGGAAAATTACTGCTATTACCTAATTAAAATACTAAATACCACTAATTTAGAAAATTCCTTTATCACTGAAAATACAGTGGGACAAATAAAAAATTTGTTTGTCTGACCAAAATTCCGTCTGTTAATTATCCGTAATTAATATAACGTTTCCTAATTAAATAATTCTCATTCAAGTACACACAATTTTTTTTTATTTCACGAAATATTTTTCTATTTCTGATTTTTATATTTTAATTTCTAATTATGATTTTTGGATTATAATTTCTGATTACGATTTTTGATTATAATTTCTAATTATGATTTTTGATTATAATTTCTGATTATGATTTTTTATTATAATTTCTGATTATGATTTTTGATTATAATTTCTAATTATGATTTTTGATTATAATTTCTAATTACGATTTTTGATTATAATTTCTGATTATGATTTTTGATTATAATTTCTGGTCTATGATTTCTGATTATGATTTCTAAATATTATATAAGATTTTCATTTCTTTTGATTTATTTTTCAGACCAACTGCCGAGAACAGTTGGAGATTCGCCAATTTCCCTGGAATCATACCAGCGGTTGGTATAATGGCATTTGCATTTATGTGTCATCACAATACATTTTTAATATACGGCTCAATTGAGCGGGCAACACAACAAAAATGGGACGTTGTCACTCATTGGTCTCTTTTTACATCATTTCTTATCGCTGCAGCATTTGGCATTGCAGGATATACGACATTCACCACTTATTCTCAAGGTGATCTTATGGAAAATTATTGCTGGAATGATGATCTCATGAATTTCTCCAGAATCATGTTTAGTGGCACAATTTTATTGACATTTCCCATTGAGTGCTTCGTGACTCGAGAGGTAAGTGCAAGTATATATACCGAGATTAAAAAAAAAAAAAAGTTTTTTCATATTTCTCGCTGATTAATAAAAAATGTAGGAGCAAAAAAAAAAAAAAATGAAAAAGGTGTCCTCTGTATATATATTTCTGAAAGTCGTAACAGTAAATCAAAATATAACAATTTTCAAGGTTTATATATGCAGGAGATAAATTTTATATTGAAGTTTTTATGTGGAGCGTAAAAATGTTTCTAAATCCGCTTTTATTTGTTGTTTTGTAAATTTATTTTTTTTTAATTTAATTCTGTTCTATTTTTTAATTCTTTTATTTTATTATTTTTTATTTCTATTCTATTCTATTCTATTCTATTCTATTCTATTCTATTCTATTCTATTCTATTCTATTCTATTCTATTCTATTCTATCTTTTTTCCTATTATTGCTAATTTTATTTATTCAAATTTTAAATTTTCTAAAAGAAGAATTTATGAGAAATAATTTTTTCTCTCAATATTTTTTCAGTTTCTTTCATTTGATAAACTTCAAAAATTTTATTTAATTCAAATAAACGCTTACTTTATAAACAAATAAATTTTTATCATCAAATAAACTTTTATTGTCTAGTAAATATTTATGTGCATCAAAAAATTTTTATTTAAGTAGTAATTAAATTTTAATTGCTTCGAATATACTGAATTTATTGACACAAAAATTACTTCATTTGAATTTTTCTTCTTTCAAGAAGATTGTAATTTTATAAAAATTATTCTCGAAGAAGTAGAAGAAAAAGAAAAGGAAGAATTCTTAAAAAAAATATTCAATTTTTAAAATTTTACAAAAAATATTTTTTATTTTTATTAATTTTCTTTTTCCATTAATTTGAATTTTTTTTCATTGACGAGAAATTTTTTAAATAAAAATTCTTCTGGAGAAAGAAAAACAAAAAGATAATAAAGAATTCGAGAAAAAAATATTCAATTCTTAAAATTTTCAATAAATAGGTACATATTATTTAGTTTTCCACATTTTCAATTTTCATTTATTTTAATTGTTCTTTTTAAAAGAAAAGTTCGTTTGTACATAAAAATTCTGTTAAAAAAAAGAAGAAGAATCGTAATAATTATTCAATTTTTAAAATTTTCCAAAAATTATTTCTTTTTGAATTTTGAATTTTTATCCACTGGAATTTTACTTTCTTAAAGAAGAATTTAATTAAATAAAAATTCTTCGGAAATAAAAAAAAAAGAAAATTTGAATTATAGATAAAAAAATCCAATTCTTAGTAATTTCCAAAAATCCATTTCTTTATTCGAATTTTTTAATCTGTAAAAAAGAAAGTTCTTGAAAATAAAAATCTTTTTTATACATTTCTTCTCAAATTATTTTTTTTTAATCGATGATTTATTTGGAAATCTTCTCCTTGAATAAATTTTCCTGAAGTGAATTTTTCTTCTTTAAAGAACAATTTGAATAAATAAAAATTCTTCTTGAAGAAGAAAAAGATGAAGAAAAAGAAAATATTCAATTCCAAAAAATTTTTTTCAAAAAATACAGTAAACAATAATCAATATTACTTTTTCAAAAATTAAATATTGAATTATTAATTTCTTTAAATCTTCTACATTAATAATCGTTGTATTTCGGTAATCTGTTCGCAGTTTGAAGTTAGTTGTTTTTTGCCTTTTTGATTCGTAACTTTTTTAATAATTTTTCTTTTTAAATATTTTAATTTTAAAATTAATGCATTGAAAATCATCGAATTGTTGCAAAGAATTTTAACAAAAAATTTGATAATAAAATTCCTTTGAAGAATTTTATTATTTAGGAAAATAATATTGAATTCTCTCGAAGAATTTTGTTAAAATTTTTAAAAATTCAAATTCAATTTTTTTTTTAAAGAATTTCTTTGAATTTTTTTTAAATAATGGAGTTTCTTTAATAATTTTAATTAGAAATCTTGAAAATAATTGAATTTTATGAACAATTTCTTTCAAGCTTTTTAATTAATCGTGTTCATAAAATAATCTAAATTGAACATTTAATTATTGAAGTTTATTAAAATTTTTGATAAAAATTGAATTCTTTTGAAAAATTTCATAACGAATTAAGAAACAAATTAAATTTTTTCGTGAAAATTTTTTGAAAATAATTGAGTTTTTGCAAAGAATTTTACTATTTATAAATATAATTGAATTGTTTCGAAGAATTTATTAAAATTTTAGAAAAAAATTGAAGTTCTTGAAATATTTTAAAACAAATTAAGAAAAAATTAAATTCTTCTGTGAAATTTTTTTGAAAATAATTGAATTTTTGCAAACAATTTTACTAAATTTGTAAATATAATTGAATTTTTGCAAAGAATTTTACTATTTATCAATGAAATTGAATTTTTCCGAAGAATTTATTAAAATTTTAGAAAAAAATTGAATTCTTTCATGAAATTGTTTGGAATATAATTGAATTTTTGAAAAGAATTTAACTATTTATAAATATAATTGAATTGTTTCGAAAAATTTTTTAAATTTTAGAAAATAATTGAATTTTTTCGAAAAATATTATTAAAATTTTTTTACAAATTGAATTCTTTCATGAAATGTTATTAAAATTGTCTTAAAAATAATTGAATTTTTGCAGAGAATTTAACTATTTATAAATATAATTGAATTTTTTCGTAGAATTAATAAAAATTTTAGAAAATAATTTAATTGTTTTAAAATATATTTTATATCGAATTAAGAAAAAAATTTTCTTCCTTCATGAAATTTTTTAGAAAATAATTGAATTTTTGCAAAGATTTTTACCATTTAAAATAATAATTGAATTGTTTCGAAGGAGTTTATTAAAATTTTTAAAAATAAATTTATTCGTTCGTGAAATGTTATTAAAATTTTATTTAAAAATAATTGCATTTTTTTGCAAAAAATTTTACTATTTATAAAAAATAATTGAATTTATGCGAAGATTTTTATTAAAATTTTTGAAATTAATAAACAAGAATAATTAATTAGTAAATTAATAAATAATTAAATTTTTTTAAAGTTTGAATATGAAATTATTCAAAAATTCATATTTAAAAATAAAATTTTATTTAAATTTAAAATATGAATTTATTTAAATTATTTACTGTATAATAATGATCTATTATTAAATAAAAAACAAAAAATTTTCCCTCACAGGTGTTGATAAACGCAATTCGAGGGAGGGACGACGTGGAGAATCACGACATCTATATATCGGGATCTGATAGACAGTATCTAATAATAACATTGAGTATAATTGGTGTTGCCTATATTATATCAATGACAACGGACTGCTTGAGTATTGTCCTCGAATTGAATGGTATTTTAGCTGCTGTACCATTGGCCTACGTTCTTCCTGCACTCTGCTATCTAAAACTCGAGGAGGGCTCACTTCTATCAGCAAAAAAATTACCCGCCCTCGGTCTTCTGATTGCCGGCATTTTTGCCGCAATTTCCGGTCTAATACTAATTATTATTAACGAACATTCCGGCACCAGTTCTTGTGTACACGGTAAAGTAATGCCTTATTGTATCAATAATTCAACACTCAATAACACTATTAGTACAACCGCAATCAGTATTCTCACTAATCAGACAACAATTTCGCCGATTATGTCTAATTTCACGACGACAACAACAACAACAACATCAACAATTTTACCACCAATAGTCTAAGGGAAAAAAATTCACTTTCTCACCAAAAGTCTAATGGAGGAAAAAAATTAAACTTTATCATCAAAAGTTTCAAAGAAAAAATTAACTCTATCACCAAAATTAAGTTTTAAAAGAAAAAATGAACTTTTGGTCACAGTTTTTCTTCAGATATCAAATTGAGTCAAAAAACGCATCAAATCTTTGCTTCGTAACAATTTTGATTCTTTTTTTTGTCGCAAAAAATTTTAATTTTACTCAAATTGAGTCAAAAAATTTGAATTTAATTCAAATTGAGTCAAAAAACGTCAAAACGTTGGTTCGCAACAATTTTGATTCTTTTTTGTCTAAAAAAATATGAATTTTACTCAAATTGTGTCAATTAATATGAATTTGATTCAAAATGAGTCAAAAAATTTGAATTTTATTCAAATTGAGTAAAAAAACATCAAAACGTTGGTTCGCAACAATTTTGATTATTTTTTTGTCTCAAAAAATTTGAATTTTACTCAAATTGAATAAAAAAAATTTGAATTTGATTTAAATTTAGTCAAAAATTTTGAAATAGATTCAAATTGAGTCAAAAAACGCATCACATCTTTGCTTCGCAACAATTTTGATTCTTTTTTTTGTCTCAAAAAATTTTAATTTTACTCAAATTAAGTCAATAAATTTGAATTTTATTCAAATTGAGTAAAAAAAGCATCAAAACGTTAGTTCGTAAAAAAATTGATTCTTTTTTTGTCTCAAAAAATTTGAATTTTACTCAAATTGAGTAAAAAAAATTTGAATTTGATTTAAATTTAGTCAAAAAACGCATCAAAACGTTTCTTCGAAACAATTTTGATACGTTTTTTGTCTAAAAAAATTAGAATTTGACGCAAAGTGAGTCAAAAATTTGAATTTAATTCAAATTGAGTCAAAAAACGTCAAAACGTTGGTTCGCAACAATTTTGATTCTTTTTTGTCTAAAAAAATATGAATTTTACTCAAATTGTGTCAATTAATATGAATTTGATTCAAAATGAGTCAAAAAATTTGAATTTTATTCAAATTGAGTAAAAAAAACATCAAAACGTTGGTTCGCAACAATTTTGATTCTTTTTTTGTCTCAAAAAATTGTAATTTTACTCAAATTGAGTAAAAAAAATTTGAATTTGATTTAATTTTAGTCAAAAATTTTGAAGTAGATTCAAATTGAGTCAAGAAACATCAAAACGTTGGTTCGCAACAATTTTGATTCTTTTTTTTGTCTCAAAAAATTTTAATTTTACTCAAATTAAGTCAATAAATTTGAATTTTATTCAAATTGAGTAAAAAAGCATCAAAACGTTAGTTCGTAAAAATTTTGATTCTTTTTTTGTCTCAAAAAATTTGAATTTTACTCAAATTGAGTCAATAAATTTGAATTTTACTCAAATTGAGTCAATAAATTTGAATTGTATTCAAATTGAGTAAAAAAAACATCAAAACGTTGGTTCGCAAAAATTTTGATTCTTTTTTTGTCTCAAAAAATTTGAATTTTACTCAAATTGAGTCAATAAATTTGAATTTTACTCAAATTGAGTCAATAAATTTGAATTGTATTCAAATTGAGTAAAAAAAACATCAAAACGTTGGTTCGCAAAAATTTTGATTCTTTTTTTGTCTCAAAAAATATGAATTTTACTCAAATTAAGTCAATAAATTTGAATTTTATTCAAATTGAGTAAAAAAAACATCAAAACGATGGTTCGCAAAAATTTTGATTCTTTTTTTGTCTCAAAAAATATGAATTTTACTCAAATTGTGTCAATTAATATGAATTTGATTCAAAATGAGTCAAAAAATTTGAATTTTATTCAAATTGAGTAAAAAAAACATCAAAACGATGGTTCGCAACAATTTTGATTCTTTTTTTGTCTCAAAAAATTGTAATTTTACTCAAATTGAGTAAAAAAAATTTGAATTTGATTTAAATTTAGTCAAAAATTTTGAATTAGATTCAAATTGAGTCAAGAAACATCAAAACGTTGGTTCGCAACAATTTTGATTTTTTTTTTGGCTCAAAAAATTTTAATTTTACTCAAATTGAGTAAAAAAAATTTGAATTTGATTTAAATTTAGTCAAAAAAACGCATCAAAACGTTTCTTCGAATTTTTTTTTTTTTTTTTTTTTTTTTTTTATTTTGAATTTTATTCAAATTGAGTAAAAAAATTTGAATTTGATTTAAATTGAGTGAAAAAACATCAAAACGTTGGTTCGCAACAATTTTGATTCTTTTTTTGTCTCAAAAAATTTGAATTTTACTCAAATTGAGTCAAAAAAACGCATCAAAACGTTTCTTCGAAACAATTTTGATACGTTTTTTTGTCTAAAAAAATTAGAATTTGACACAAATTGAGTCAAAAAATTTGAATTTAATTCAAATTGAGTCAAAAAACGTCAAAACGTTGGTTCGCAACAATTTTGATTCTTTTTTGTCTCAAAAAATATGAATTTTACTCAAATTGTGTCAATTAATATGAATTTGATTCAAAATGAGTCAAAAAATTTAAAGTAGACTTAAATTAAGTGAAAAAATTTGAATTTGACACAGATTGAGTCAATAAATTTGAATTTGTTTCAAATTGTATCAAAAAATTTAAATTTGACACAAATGAAGTCAAAAAGCGTATCAGAATGTTGCTTCGCAACAATTTTGATACGTTTTTCTTTTGTTTTAAAATTTGATATCCTTAGAAAAACTCTGTAACAAAAGTTTTAAAAAAATGAAAGTCTAAAAGAAATATTCTGAACTTTATCAACAAAAGTCTAAGAGAGAAAAATTACAAAAAATAATAACTATATAGAGCACCAAATAAAGGGGAATTTTTTCGTGAGGTAAACTCACACATTGTGACTTGTACAAAAAATAAATGAATTATTTCATTAATTGCGATCTATAAAACGAATTTTTCTGAAAAAAAAATAGTTATATATTTCTGCATAAAAAAAATAATAGTAGTAACAGTGAATGAGTGATCTATATTTTCTTACGAAATATAATGGAGAATCTTTTTTAATAATTGAAAGAGATATTATAACTTATTATACGAATGATAATTTTTGAAAAATTATTTCTCGATTCTGAATAATTTCTAGAGAAAAAAAAGGGTTGCCAGGTAAATTTAATTGTGATTTTCCCCCTGACTTCTTTTGACTCTTTTCCTGAGCCTAAATAATTTTCTGATTCACTCTAAAAACGATTAAGATGCACAAAAAAATGTTTTCAATTCATTTATTTGGCAGATTATTGTAAATTTATACAGAATATTTAAATAATTTTTATTTATTTTATAATTTTATTTATTACAATTATTTTTATTAAAAACATTTAATATTTTTCCACAAGAAGTGCAAACAAATCTTAATTTTCATAAATTTTAAATTTAAAACCGCGTTTGAAAATTAATATTTTTTTTAAAATTGAAAACTCTTCCAAAATTTAATTATTTTTTTAATTTTTGAGTAAAATTTTCTCTAACTGATTATATTTAAATACATTTACAAATCTATTCTAATAAATAATGAGTAAAAACAAATAAAACACACTAAAAAAATTGATTTGATTAAAATCAACCTTTTGTATATAATTTATTATTAACTTTATAATCAAATAAATTTTTGTTATGGCAAATAAATATTTACTAGAATCAGATAATTTTTATTCGAGTCAATTAATTTGAATTTGCTTCAGATAGTGAAAATATTAAAATTTACTTGATTTAAATCAAAATTATTTGATTCAAGTAAATAATTATTTGATATTAAAAAAATAATCGATTATTTGAATCAAATTTTTTTTCAGTGCATGAGTGCAAAAATCTCTCAATGGAGGTTTTACTAAGAAATTTATGCTAATTTAATAAAAGTATAAATTCATTAATTATTAATTCAATTAATAACTTATTTAACAATTAATTGGATAATTTATTTAATTATTATTTCTTAAATTGTTAATAGAAAATTGTAGTCGAAATATCGAGAATGACTAAAAAAAAGAAAATTATTTGCTTAAAAACTTATAAATAATAATTTTATGAAAGTTGTACAAGAATTAAATTATTTAAAATAAATTCAATTTCATATTTAGTACTCTTTAAATTTGAATTAGAAAAAATGTTTATTAGTTTGAATTAGTAATTAAATTTTTGCTTATGAATTAGTAAATTTTACTAATAAATCAGTAAAAATTAGCATTTATTCATAAAATTTACTACTTTTTAAAAGCGAAAAGTCAGTCACGAAATCAGTAAACATTTTTACTGTATCCAATTTTGAGAATAAAGTTTAATTATTTTCAGAAATAGAACAAAATTTTCCTGAATTCTCCCAGAATTTTCTAAAATGTGGCAACCCTGAAAAAAAATTTCTTATTCATGCTAAAATATAATGCAATTCCTCTCTCAAATTTGAATTAATAAAAATTGAATCAAATATTTTAAATAGTAAGAATTTTCATACTAATTTTTACTTCTTTTTATTTTTCACTAAAAAAAATTTAAACAAACTTAAAAGACTATACTTAAAAATTAAACTACTGAAATAATAATATTTTAATTATTTTTAGTTATTGTTTTAATAAAAAAATAAAATAAAATTAGAAAAATGTAAAAATTAGTAAATATTCTTACATAGCGTAAATTTAATGACTCAACTTTTTCACTAAATTCATATTTGGAGAGATTAGAAGATGAAAATTATCGTTTTTATGGGAAAGATAAAACAAAATAAATTATTCCTGCAGGGTAATTTCATGAAAGTATTAATAGAGATGTAAATGATAAAATTCTTCTATCAAATATATTGACAACGATAGTTTTAACTTGTTCCAAAACGCTTTAATTTTCATTAAAGCGTTTAAATAAATTATTAAAGCTATTAAATAGAAATCTTGACCAAAAATAAAGTAGTTCTACATAACTAATCGCACCTTAAAACTCATCTAAAATCGATTAAAATTGCCTAAAAATAAATTTTATTCAGTATTATTATCTCTATAATTTATTGCCTAAAGAAATTTAATAATTTTCGAAAACAAATTTTTACAAATTATTAATTTATAAATTGTAATTATTTTTCTATTTTTTTCTATTTTTTTCTATACTTTTTCTTTAATTCTTGAGTGCGCAATTTTTAACAAAAAAAAAAGGTTACAATAAAAGGTTTTTTTTTTAAATAACAAAAAAACCAAACTGAATGCGAATAATAATGATGCGGGTATAAAAAAAATATAATATTATATATTATAATCTCGTTTACATATATATGTAATATATTGTATATTAAATAATTTTAT